CAGCGGAACGCTAAAGGAAATTTTAACTTCAGGAACTGAGTGCCGGGAAAGCACTGCTGGTCAGGGAAGGCAACTCATCCAATGTGTGTAACAATCTGTTCAAGTCTCCGCCGCCTTCTCCCCGTTTGCTAAAGCACTCTCATCAATGAGAGAAACGGGCGATACACACACCCTCCACCTGACACACGAGGCGGGTGTCAGGTCCGACTGTCAAAAGTTGGGACAGCCGAGGGCCCAGGCCGACCAAGGGCAGAGAGGTTACCGCGGTGCCCACACTGGCCGCCTTCGTGCAGGCGCGCAGCTAGCGCTCAGCCTGCCGCTGGCGGGAACCCAGGTCGCAGCACACAGGCCCGTCCCCCGAGCCTCGACTTCCGCCCGCTCCCCTCCCCCCAAGGACGGCGTGCGGCGGGCCGGACGCCCGGGCGCTCGGGGCCACAAGGCTGCGCTAGGCCGGGCGAACAAGGACAGGCAGCATGCCCCCAGGTGCCGCCAACTGGCCTCCCCGCACCCCTAGCCTCTACTCTGGCACCCGGGCCCCCAAGGCCAAGGTCTCCCCGGCCCACAAACCTGATAGCGGAAGTGACGTCAAGGGAGCTGGCAGCACCCTCAGCCAGTCGCGCCACAGCGGGAGGCGGCGCCGGCCAATGGGCGCGGCCCGGAGGGTGGGACTTCCCCCGCCCAAATTTGATTGAAGTGGGGGGAGGGGCGGGGTGAAGAATGTGAAGAACGACCCCTCCCCCGCCGGCCCGCGAGGCGCTGGCGGGAAGCGAAGGGGGTTGGGGCCGACCCGCCACGCGGCGCCCAGCCCCCGCTCGCGCCGCCCGCGACCACGACCTCCCTCCGCTGCCGGCCCACTAGCAGCCCCAGGCCGCCGGCCGCCGCACTGTCCTTCTCCCGCAGCCGCCGCCGCCGGCGGTCTGAGCGAAAGAAAATGGCGACGGAACCGCGCTCACTGTCCCACCCGCCGTACCCACCTCAGGCTCGGAGAGAAGGCTGCCGCCCGCCGCCCGCTGCCGCGGCCTTCCACGGGGACAACCCAGCCCCGCGCCTGCCGCCGCCCGCCACCGCACGAGAGCCGCGCGCGGGGCCCGGATGGAGGCGCGGGCGGGCGCCGCCGCGGCGGCCTGAGGGAAGGCAGCGCGGGCGCCGGGAGGCCGAGGCGGGGGCGGGCGCGAGACCAGTGCACGAGCCCATTGGCCGAGCCGCCTGACAGACGTGCGCCTCGCCCTTTCGCCTGGGCGGATACGGGCTCTCAGGGACGCCACTGGAGGACAGCAGCTGGGACCGCCCCGCGCTGGGTGGCACCGCCCACCCTCCCCGGATCCCGTCTCCCATAGGGCAGTCGGGAGAGTGGCGGGGGCGTTTTCCCGCCCTTCGCGCGTGATCTACTGGCCGGGTCACGTGGCTACCTGGCGCCGCAGGTGGCCTTGCGCCCGCCGACGCGGAGCGGGTTTTTCCGTAGTTTATCCGGCTGTAGACGAGGGGGTGCTGTTGGCTGGCGGCGCCGTGTGTCGGTGACGCCTGTCTTCAGACGCTTTCCAAAGCTACCCTCGACGTTTCTACCTCCAGTGATCCAAACCGTAGTTGCTCCCGTGCTGTGTCTCCCCAAACCCGGACCCCCGAATTCGCGGTCCGTCCGCGCCAGCTGCTGCCACCGGGGCCCGCCGTTGCCACTGGCTCTGCGCACGGATTAAAGGCAGAAACGCACGTCCTCGCGGGGGTAGGGCATTCGTAGCAGTCCGGCTGCCCCAGGCCGATCGGTTGGCTTACTTTTTTGGGGACAGGCCATGGCTGCAGACGTGGGAGCAGGCCCCGGGACGGACAGGGCTGGGGACCCTGGTGGGCTCGGTGTGCAGGGCACACAGAGCAACCCCAGACCCCTGGTGCATGTGACCGAGGGAGGCACGGCTTCCTCGGAGATTTCGGGGTGTTCCCACGGAAAGCCTGTCTGGTCAGTTCGCTGGGTATGTTCCTTCTGCATGTGGGTGCTTAGCAGATGAGCAGGGCGTTTCGTGGAAAGAGCTGCAGCTTGTTTTCTAGCACAAACAGGTAAAAGTCCCAGCCCCTCTTTCCAGGGGCACTGGGGCTGAGAATTCCCACCCGAGATCACAACAGGGAGTGACTTGCACTGACCAGGTGATAAATACAATCTGGTTGTTATTAATCATCCTTTTAAAAGAGGTGGCAAGGGACAGAATATGTATTTGAATCTTTGGTGGAAGCCTCCTCAAACCAATGGGCACCAGCCCCAGTAATCCTTAGGTTCGAGTCTCAGCTTAGATGCTAGGCCTCTGGCCCTGCACCTCAGGGCATACCCTACTTTGACTAATTCTCCAAAAGCTTGAATGTACAACCCGCCCCCAATCACCCCTCCATCCTTGTCCTCTGGCTGGTCCTTGTCATTTCAGGTGCCACTTAAACCTGCTCAGTCTTTCCCTGACCCCCCACACCCCCCAGAATCAAAGTCCTATAATCACTTTTAGCATTTTAGCACTCTGAGCCCGTTTCACTTGGTTTAATAGCTCTTCCCCCAGGGAAGTAAGAACCTGTTTGCATTGTCTTGACTGTGCCCCTGTATGCTAGAACAGGGCCTAGTACACACAGTACCAGCTGTACTGTAGGGTATGCCCTGAGGTGAAGGGCCAGAGGCCTAGCGGCTAGGCTGAGACTTGAACCTAGGGGTTACTGGGGCTGGTGGCCACTGGTTTGAGAAGGCTTCCACCAAAGATTCAATAAACATCTGTTAAGTGTGAAATCAACAGTAGAGACTAGAGCAGTTCTCAGAGGAGGCTGAGCTCAAAGGACATGAAGGGGTGGAGGACTATTGTTGGCACACTGTGTGAAGGGTAGAGGGAGCAGCAGGCACCAAGCCAGGAAGAGAAGACACCAGGTGCTGAGAAGACATGTTCCCAAAGAAGCCATACCCTAAAGACCACAGAGGCCCATGTCACTGAGGCCTCCCCATCTTTGATATAATTCCTTTCCAGGCAGCCTCAGGACAGACCTCTCCTTCCATCTTGTTTTTCTGCAACCAGAACAACCCAAGTAAACACACTCCTATGCACGCCCTCTGACCCCATCATCCTTACCCTTCTTGGGTGAGATTTTGGGTTCTAGGTGTGCCTTCCCTGTGACCCTCCACTCAGCATGCTGAGTCCAGATGACCAATTTATACCTTAGTCTCCCTGCTCTTTATTCCCTGCCCTTTCTCCTGGGTCTCCGCTGCAATTGAGATAGGTCTTAGTGTGGGGATATATGAATTTATTATCAGAAGGGTGATGGTTGAGCCTGGCTTCCCAAGATCTTCCCCCACTGACTGCTGGTGACTCCAGTGCACCAGGGAACGCTGCTGTACCTGAGTCACAGTGCAAGGAGAGAGCACCAGGCCCTAAACACCCCCACGCCAGCATGCCTAGGGCAGAGCCAGCAGTTATTGCCCACAGTAGACCACCTGACCAAAGGTTACAAAATGGCCATGGCTCAAAAGTCCCATCTGGTTCATAGAAGTGTTTTTTATACCCACTCAGTATTTTCAATTAGCTGACAGCATTCAAAAAAAGAACCCTGGCATCTGTGGCTACCCTCAGACAACATTCCAGCAGGACAATATTTTCTTTATGTACAGCGTGGGTTCTGCTATGTGTCATGGTGCCCCTGGTCTGACTGTGAGTTCAGGTCATCTATACTGTCTACACCACCGCCTCTTAGGACACTGCTCCTGCTCCAGTTGGGCCTACGTTATATTCATTGCAGGACCTCATCAGAGAGGTGAGTCGGTGACAAGCTACAGAGACTGCCCTAGATAAGGCCAAGCAGAATCCCTTCCCGGGAAAGCATTAACCAGGAATTGGGAGGCGAGTGCTCCTTAACCTCAGACCCCAGGTATAATGGCATGTGAGAAGAGATCACTCTGTTCAGCAAGACAAGGGTTGGAAAGAGAACAGAGAAGGGATTTCTGGTAGCACCTGGGTCTCTGGGTCCTCTCATCCCTGAGCCCATCCCACCTTCCTCAGTGTGTTTCACAGGGTGGCTCTTTCCCAGCACCTCCTCGGTGGGGTTTCTGTCACTGCAAGCAGCAGCAATTGTAACAGGCAGATGAAAGGAGGATAATTGGAATCCATTCTCTACCCACGCTGCGATGTGACCTTGGGCAAATTTCTGACCTCCTTCTCAGTGTCTTTATCTGTGCATTGCAGATTCTACTGCTTCCCTACTAAGGTGAAGTGATTCCCATAACGTTGCTTGTGTAATGCATTAAATGAAGTGCTTCCTGTAGTCAGTGCTACCAAGGATTTCATAACATTGAATTTTACGATAGGTTTTTACTAAAAGCTGGTGGACTGGAATTAAGAGTGAGTGCTCTCTTGAAGAATGGTAGCAGTGTTCTTTAAGGAGCGAGATTTCCAAATCAGTCCTGCCTTCAGAGACCCTGGCTAGGCTGTTAGAAGCCTGGCCTCCTACCAGATGCACTTCGATTTGTGTACGGTCACCGCTTTCAATGACTGTAATTTTGGGCTAGTTATTTAAATTCTTTGACCCTTTGGTTCCTCCTATAAAAGTGGAGAAAATAATTCTCACTCAGTTATTTTGAGTGTGGAATTAACATGAAGAATGCCTAGGAATATATACTAAGTATTCAACAAATTATTAGTGTGACAGAAAAAAAAAAGACAAAGACCATAGGTGAGAGCTCACCAAAGGTTTCATTTCTGGGGAATTATTGCTATTGAAATTTCTCGTGTCTGAGGCTCAATTGAGCTAAAAACTGCACTGTAAGTAATCAGAGCACAAAGCTGTTCTGTTCAGATGTGCCAAGAGCTCACCTCTTGCACCACCCACCCTGAAAGCCAAGCCAGCAGCCCCCATGATTCAAAGCTCTCTTGTGTGAGCTCCCAGCAACAAGCTTCTAAAGTAGATTTCCGTTAACAAACAGAGAAAAGCTTTGGCTGATCAATTAGCTACGTAAGACTCCAAATCAAGACAGAAACCGCAATGTGGAAAGAATCTTTTTTTTTTCTTAAGAAGTGAAGTCTAGCAACTTTCAGGTTGCAGCTAAAATGGTAAAAGTTGTTGACATTTCAAAAGGCCAAAAATACTGCATTATACAGTAGATTCCCTAGAGTCAGCCTCTTTTCCTTGTGCCCCGGATCTGCTAGAGGGGGAATAAAATGGGTTCCCTGGAAGTTTTGCCTCTTCATTTGATTTTGGCACCCAGCCTGACACTGCCTTGCACAAAATCTCAACTGCTTCTTGGGACAGTGGACCTTGTGTCCAGCTCGCCTGCCAGGCCTCTCGGAGCCTGGCCGTGGGGACCAACATTTGGTCAGTCTCAGGAGGCATAAAGGCAGTAATGTCTATTCCCTTAATGAGCTTTTGAAAATAACTCCTGGTGGAAATATTGTCCTTGGCAGGAACCTGGGGGGACTTGCTGCCCCCCATGAGTCTCTCCATCTCTTCCTTGAGCTTTTTGTGCTCATGGAGAAACTGCACAGAGCTGGTGTGGTGCTGCAATAGAGCCTTCATCTGCTGGTAGAGCTGTCGGGGGGCTTGGAGTTCCTGCGCCACCAGCTGCAACTGCTTCAGCTTGGTGGACAGCTCGCTCTCCAGGTGCTGCTTTAAGGTGGCCACACGGCCTCTGATGCTGCTTAGCAGACTCTCTTCGATGGCATCCATCATGGCCCTGGTGTCAGCCGCACTGCTGGAGAGCTCCCTGATGCGTCTCTCTGTGCCCTGTGGAGGCAGCATGAACATTTCCTTAACAAAGACCCCTAGGCACAGGCCTGGCCCTGGTGTCAGCCGCACTGCTGCAGAGCTCCCTGACGCATTTCTCTGTGCCCTGTGGAGGCAGCATAAACATTTACTTAACAAAGACCCCCAGGCACAGGCCTGGCCCTGGCTGATACAGTTTCATGGCTGGCCTGGGTTGGCTCTTCTGCACTGAGCCAGGGTCAGCTGAGGGGTGGTGGTCAACGCAAGGTGTCTGCCCAGTTCCCTGGTATCCCTGCTTTCCTACACAGTGTTCAGTGTAGCAATGTGGGTGACTAAAAATGCCAGGTTCATTTCCATTCCCTTGCATTTAGGGGTGAGTAGGCAGGTGCGCAACAGAAGCAGAAGTAGGAGTTACGGGGTGGGGATTCTGGGCAAGCTGCTTAATATGGGCAGCCTTGACCTTGCCCTTCCCCTTACTCCTATGAGACATGAGGCATCCACCTCATCACCAACCAGGTGTTGACAAGCATATGCATAGCATGGCCAAGAGGAGGGCAGTGCCTGGGTGGGATGGGGGTGCCAGGGGGAGAGCCACACAGGCCAGCCTGGACCTCCTGCCTCTCGACTTTACCTTAAATGAGAAAACAGAATCCCTCATTTTCTAAAGCCACTGCTCACCAGTTTCTCAGTGAAATGCAGATCCTTATTGAAGGGAGAGTCAGGTGGAAGGAATTATCTGGATAATTTTGAAGGGAGTAAAACCTTAGCCTTAACCTTTGTGCTATTTCTCAAGAAAGTCAAGACCTCCCACTGCGGACTATGTTCAGCCGAAAAGGCCCTTCCCCACCTGGCTGGCCTGTTGTCCCCAACACATCCAGTGACTCTTAACTGGCAACCACTCTGTGAGCATGTCCACTGTCATGGGGAGCAGCACAGCGTGGGAGCCACACCATGATGGTCAGGGTATGCAGACCCAGGGAAGCCTTGGCTTGAACGTAGCTCAGGTGTCTACCTTGTGAACAGGACAGTGGTTCTGAAGAGAACCCAATGAGATGGTGACTGTGTCATACCTGGCACCAGTCCAGGCATGCAGTAAAGTGTACACGTTGGTCTTGCTTCCCCTGACTCCTGTCCTTAGGCAGCGGGGAGCTCTTCGCTTCCACATGCTTCTACAGGTCTTACATGTGTCGCCATAGCCCAAGCTCACATAATGGAAAGTCAAGCTAACGTTTGTGCCAACTTTGAAGTAAAATTCCACAAGTATCACCACTTCCCAAACCATGTTTTTAATTTAGCTGGTGAATACATGTGCTTGCCTGTCCTTTGTAGCCAGGAGTGGCCTGCTTGATGTGGGTTTTAGTGACGTAATAAATACACCACTGACTCTCACTTGTGACAAGTGCTCTGAAAAAAATGGAGGAAGGTAGAGCTGCAGGGTGAGGCAAAGAGCAAAAGCAGTGCTCTCATTCTGGGTGTGGAAAGGTAGCAGGGAGACGCTGACCTCTGAGGACAGGATCAAAGGATGGCCAGGCAGTGGTAACATCTGGGAGAGAGATTTTCCAGGCAGAGAGACAAGAGGACAAAGACCTGAGAAGGCACACCTGGCATGTGGAGCAGCAGTCAGGAGGCAGTGAGGCCCAGAATGGAGGGGAAGGTGGGGGGAACTTGGGACCAGACCATGGCTTTTGCTCGGTACCATAACTCTACCAGCTGAGGACTTTAAACAAGGGAAAGGCATGCTCCGAAGCAGTGGTCACTCTGGCTACCAATGGGGTAGAGTGGGTACAGGAAGCAGTGGGGGGAGAGCCACCACAGTGTTGTGTAGAAAGGGGAGAGCGTGGGAGAGGTGGGTGATCATGGAGGGAGGCATCTAGTAAGGGCACATGTGGTATAACCCCTTCTGAGCATGTGGGCAGTCATTGTGCCCATGCTCCAGGGAAGATTACAAGAAGCAGGTTTGTGGGAAATCAGGAATTATGTTTAGTTCGAATTACATCTGAGATGCCCAAGAGCACCCAGTGGAGATTTCAAACAGGCAGTTGTTCATGTGGGGCTGGAGCTCACGACAGTCGTCCGGGTTGGCAGTGAGATTGGGAAGTCCTCAGCACAAAGGGATTTTTCAACAAAAGGGTCTGGGGGGGATTGTGAGCAGAGAGCTGCGAGAAGGCTGCGCGGAGGCTTAGAGCCCACGGAGGTGGAGGCACAGCGAGGCAGTGCCTGTGGCTGTCCCGGGACAGTTGGGCGCCTAGAGGTCAAGTGTCCACATCACCAGAAAAAGTGTTACTGGCCGTGGCAACGAGTCTTTTCTGGGATGTTGGTTCATTGAAGAGAGAAAAAATGAATAAAAAAGCAAATCAGTGAGCTCATTTGTCTCCTTCACCCACTTAAGCTTTTTAAGATTTTAAATATTTATAATTTGAAGATTTAATATTAGTTTGGTAGTTCTTTAACTTCCAAGAAACTATATGGTCTATACTAGACAGAAAGTGTTCAGATACTACAAACTGTGGATTCCCCCCCCCTTATAAATGATCTATTTTAATGAACATAAAATAATGTACTTTGTGATAAAATAGTATGGAAAACAAAACACAAATACAAAAAAATTTAACATATGTTCTCACTAGTTTAAATGAGTGATTTGAACTTCTGTCTTTGTGATAAGGAATAGGTGACAGTAAAATTATTTTTGATTAGGACAGCTCCATGGAGAAGTTTACAAAAGAACAAGCCTGCTTATTTCCTCCACCCTGAATCTGGCTGAAAATATGCCTGGATCTCCCTATCTGTGGTTTTCCCAAGGTCCCTGCCGTGAACATGGGGTGAGCGGGGAGGGATACCCAGCAGAGCCATCCTGCGCAATGTATGAGGTGGGGGCAGCTCTCAAAACTATTTGTGTTTTTTCTCCATCATTGAATTTTAGCTTAAAACATTCCTGTACTTTTAACAGGAAACCCCTGCACTTGTGAGTAGCCAGGGCATAAATTCATTCTTCTCACCTTTGTATCCCACCCAATAGATATAAATGGATAATTCTTTCTTTACTGAAAAGTCTTATGCTTACCAGAGTTCAATTGTCACCGTGTCATCTAAAAGGGGAGATTCCATGTTCCCTGCCCCACGTATTGAAGTGTGGAGCTGAGTGACTTGAGGGGAAGCTAAAAAGGTCTTGGGAGAAAAGCCTTGGCGGAAGACCTGAAGGAGACACATGGAGCAGAGAGACATGTGAAGAAGGAGCCACACTTACTTCTTGTCCTTGGACTTGCCCCAGGGACTTGGGGGACATGAAGGAGATATTTGGACGAGATGTGGGTGAGAGACCAGTGAGAAGGCTGGCAAAGGCAGCTTTTTTCTTGAGTTGTACTTTGATTTTGCTCTTTTCCTTCCAGAGTTGCCTTGCTCCTGTGCCTCTCCTGTGGTTCCCTGCCAGAAAGTGCCTTAGATTTGTGGCAAGCTTTGGGGGCTCAATGGCCCCAATTTGTGCCAACCTTTGGTTGGGTATCTACCCATTAGGAGATGGGTAACTCTGGGGGTTTCATTGGGAAACTATATTCTTTCTGTTGCACACTAATTCTATTAAAGTTCTTTTCCATTGAATGTCTTATGCACTAAGTTTTGTTGTTATGTGGAAGGTGACAAAACCCATTTAGAGTGCAGGTTTGGGGAGTCCCAGGGTACCCCTCTGTCTGGTAACACAATAAGCCCAATGTTTCAAAATATAATATCATTTACATTTGTAAAACTGCTTTATTGAATATGATTGACATACAAAAGTAAGTGTACAATCTGAAGAAGTTTTAAAATTTGTTGTTTGGAGGGCCTCCCTGGTGGCGCAGGGGGTGAAGATGCAACCTATGAGACTGTCCTGCAGCCACTGCAGCACTTGAGTTTGATCCCCAGCTTGGGAGGAGACCCACATGGCGCAGAGGACCTCTCCTGTCTCACCTGCTGCTCCCCTCAGCAGTGTATTTCAGTCAATCTGCCTGTTCTGTTCCCCACTCTGTCTCTGGTGAATCCTCTCTCACACACACACCCCATACTCTGGCCTGTACTACAGCTCTTGTATGTATAAATAAATAAATCTTTTTAAAAAATTGTTTGGAAGTCACCATCACAATGAAGAGAGCAAAGGTAGCAATCACTGCCTAAAGTTTGCTCACGCGCATTTTAATTTCTTGCCTGCCACACATCCTTGACCTCTCCTCCCCAAGTAACCACTGATCTTTCTCTCATTGTACATTAATTTGTATTTTCTAGAATGTTATATAAATGGAATAATGCTCTTTTCCTTTATTAGGCTTCTTTCACACAATTTTCAGATTCATTCATGGGTAGTTCTGTATATCCATTTGTTAATCCATTCATCTGGACATTTAGTTCCAGTTATTTGTAGATTCCATTGGATTTTTTTTTTTTTTTTTTTTTACAGAGACCCTGATGTCATCTATGAGTAAAGATGATTTTGCTTCTTCCTTTTCTGTTTGGATGTTTTTATTTCTTTTTATTGGACACTCGGTTGGTGTTGGAAAATCAGTGAGGCTGACATATTCCTAGACGCTGAATTTCAATGAAAATAGAGCTTCCAGGAGCTTCCCTGAGTAGTGGTAGCTCTCAAAATGGGGATGCAAAGGATCACTTGCTTGTTTTTTCCCCCTCCCCACACCTATCCCTTTTACTCTTTTTCTCTCTCCCCTCCCCTATCCTTAACCTTAGACACAGCACTTAGCTTATCAATATTCACTAGTTATAAATATTTTGCTTCATCCGTTCATCCATTTTGAATCTTTATTCATATATGTGAAATAGTCCAGTATTGTCTTTCTGACTTACTTTTCCACACAAATTTCCCCTGAGCGCCTTCCATTTTGCTGTAAATGGTAATATTTCTTGTTTCCTTAGGGCTGAATAGTATTCCATTTTGTGGTTGTGCCAAATTCTCTTTAGCCAGTCCTCTATCAGTGGACACTTAGGTTGTTTCCATATCCTAGCTGTTACAAATAAAGCTACTCTAAATACTGTGGCACATATCATTTTTTTGAGCTAATTCTTTACCTAAAGTTTGATCGCTGGTGCATTCATTCTTAGTTTCTTAAGGTATGTTTAAAACACTTTCCAAAATGACTGTACCAGTTACATATCCACCAACCATGTATTAGGGTTCCTCTCTCTCTATAGCCTCTCCAGCATTTGTTATTGGAGGTCTTTTTAATGTATGCCAGTCTCACATGTGTGAGATGATATCTCATTGTAGTTTTGATTTGCATCTCCCTCATTAAAAGTTATGATGATCATTTTTCCATCTGTCTATTGGCTTCTGTATATCCTTTTTGGTAATTGCCTTTTTAGATCTGCTGCCCATTTATTAATTGGGTTGCTTGTTTTTTGTTAAGTTGGGTGAGTTCTTATTATAACTTGGATATTAACTCCTTGTCAGTTACATGTGTGAATATCTTTCCCCATTCAATAGAACATCTTTTTAATATGCTAATAGTTTCTTTTGCTGTGTAAATCTTTTCAATTTGAGGTAGTCTCAAGTGGTTATTTTTGCCTTCATTTCTATTGCCATATGGTTTTAGTCGCCAAAGACATCTATCATTGGTGTCAAAAAATGTATTACTAGTGCTTTCTCTCCTGTGGTAGGTTTTGTATCTAATTCTAATCATTTTGAATTAATTTTTGTGCATAGAGTTAGTGATCCAACTTCACCTGTTTACAAGTGTCCATCCAGTTTTGCTAGCACTAATTATTAAAGAATCTCTTCTTTTTGGCATGACTTCCTTGTTATAAATTAGATATTGATATATGCGTAGATTTATTTATTTATAATATAGTTTAAAATCAGGCAACATGAGGCCTTCATTTTTCTCTGGCTATTTGGTTTTTTTTATTGTTTCATATAAAATTTAGTATTTAAATTTTTAGTTATTTAATATTGTTTGCCTCTTGAAGAAAATCATTGGAATTGTCATAGCAATTTTGTTGAATCTCTTTATGTATTGCTTTTAGTAAAATAGTTATTTAGACTATATTAATTCTCCCCATCCATGAATATGGACTCTCTCTCCATCACTTTATCTCTTCTTCTATATCCTTTCATAGTGCCTGGTAGTTTTCATCATATAAATGTTGCTTGGGTTAATTCCTACATATTTACCTATTTTTGATGGAATTGTAAATGGAATTATTTTCTTAAGTTCTTTTTCTTCTTACTCATTATTTGTGTATAAAGGTGCTACAGATTTTTGTGTGCTAATTTTGTGAACTGCCGCATTGCTGCATTTATCATTTCTAATAGCTTTTGGAAGAAGTCTTTAGGGTTATCTATATATGTCATATCATCTGCAAATAATCATAGTTTCAGTTCTTTCCAACTTCGATTCCTTTTATTTCTTGTTGTTGATTGCTCTAGTTAAAACTTCTATTACTATAGGGCCTCCCCTGGTGGCGCAGCGGTTGAGCGCTGGGCTGCGAAGCTGCCCGCGGCCTCTGCAGCACTGGTTCGATCCCCAGCCACCGGGGCAAGGGTCCCACATGGCGCGCAGACCTCTCCTGCCGCCCACTGCTCCCCTCGGCAGTGTATTTCATCGGTCTGCCTGTTCTGTTCCCCCCTCTGGCTCTGGTGAATTCTCTCACCCTCCTGTGCTTCTGACTGTACCCAGTGCTTGTATAAATAAATAAATAAATCTTTAAAAAAAAACCCAAAACTTCTATTACTATATTAAACAGAAGTGGTCATATATATGGGACCTTAAAGGGAAAGCTTCCAGTTTTCACCATTAACTATAGTATTGGCTGTGGGTTTGTGATATATGAGGTTGATTCCTTCTAGTCCCTTTTTTTATCATAAATGGGTGCTTTTTTTTTAATCAAATGCTTCTGCTACATCTATTAATAATACCATATGTTTTTTATCCTTTGTTGATGTAGTGCATATATTAAAACATCCTTTGAGGGCCTCCCTGGTGGCACAAAGAGTTTGTGATATCTGCAGCCACTGCAGCACAAGTTCCATCCCTGGCCAGGGAGCTAACCCACATGGCGCAGCAGACTCTCCTGTCTGCTCCCCTCAGCAGTGTGGTTCAGTCAGTCTGCCTGTTCTGTTCTCCCCGACTCCAGCCACCTACCCCCTTCCCTCTCCTATTTCATCCTCCCTCCTCTCAGAACTCTCTGATTACCAGAACATTTTCCACAGCCTAAGAGTTTTATAAACTCAATTTAAACACATTATTTAGTATTGAGAAGATCTAGAAACATCATCTATGGAAGACACAGAGGAAATCTACCTAGATCCCTCTTTCCAGGAGTACTTCCTGCCTGTGGTATGACCAGCCTCCAGCTTTCAGGTCCTGCGCCCTCCCAGAGCAGCTCACTTACGGAGGCTGAACAACAAGATCTATAACAGCCTAACTGCTTCTGTGCAATATAGGGGGCCCTGATGGGCAATACTGGTTCCATTTTTCCCATGTGGATCAGGCTCCAGATTCCCTACCTGGATCAAATGCTGCTTGTCAGGGCTGCCGTGTAGTTTGCCTTCCCTCTTGTTTCATCTACTTCTTCCTCCCTCCCCCTCCCCTCTTTTGATAGGTATGATTTGGATACACTGCACTCCACACTCTGTCTCAGCTTCTGCTTCCTGGGATATCCACTCTTCGGGCGCTACTGTGGCCCAGATAGCAGTCCCCAGGGACCACTGCCCTAGCTGTCAGTTGGCATCCCTGTCTGCTTAGCACCAGAATTTATTTCTAAACCACAATATAGATTTCAGTATGTATGTATATATGTGTGTGTAAATCAGGAAATTTTGCTCCCTTTAAAAAATGTATCCAGATATTAATTCCTAAAATCTATATCGTAGGGAAGAAAAAGCTACAAATTAAAGAAAATAGGTCATCCTTATTCCTTAAATGATGTGACCATTAAATTGCCATTTTTAGAAGCCCTTAAAGCAATCAGAATTCACCCATTTCTCAAGGTGCCCATTTCAAAAGTTGATATGTTTGGGGACATGTTTAATGAGAACCGATCTCTAGAGAATGCAAAGTATACTTTTTCCCTCTGTCAGCCTAGTGCCCTGCAGAGAAGACTGTTTGAACTAAAAGCAAACATTGCCCTGCTGTTGTGTGGGCAAAGACATAAGCCCCCGAGTGTACCTGCATGGCCTGCGCTGCACGCTTGGATTTCTGCAGCACCAGCTGAATATCCTCAGCAAAGCTCACCTTCCTCTCTGCATAGGCATCAGAAATCTTGGCCACCTGGTGAGACCTGTGGTCCCCAAAGAGCTTGCACGTTCCACATATTGGTTCTTCATCACTTAGACACATCTGATTGATAGAAGGAAAGTAAATGGAATATTTGCCCTTCTGTCACCGTGTGCATTCAGGACCTGCCATGTCCCATGTCCCAAGCCAAAGATATTTGAATGAATGTATTTTTATTAAGCAGGTACCAGAAGACACAGGACAGGAGACTCTGGTGTGTAAAGGGCAAGAGGATGGTGGTACTACAATGCTGCACAGTGATTTAGCAAGTGCATATCACATTTGATATCTTCTAGACTCCTCATACAACCCTTTGGCTTAGGTAGTATTGTGTCCATCTTATAGGCAAGAAAGATGAAATGACTCTGAGATGTTAAGAAACTTGCCCAAGGACACACAGCCAGGAAGAGAAAGCACTGAAATTAGAAGATAGGGCTTTCTGACTCCAAGATCAAGGCCTTTTTGATTTGGCCAGCCCACCACCTTCCAGGGATCTTGTGAGGGTTAAATGCCACTAAGTCTGTAACAGACCTGAACCATGCCTGCTATTGCGAGGATATCACACCTGGTGGCTATTGATAAAATCAGAAGGACCTGGACAAATTTGACCCACTACAGCCTCAAGATAAGCTGAGTACACTTTAGGTGAAAGAGATGGAAGGTCCTCATCAGTGCCCATCCTGCTTGGACATCCTCTTCTAAAGTGGAGCCTTGGAATGAACACTCCTATCTTGGAAGGGGTGGTGACTGCAGAGGATGGGACAGAACCACTAAATATTCAGGGCAAACGAAACTGATTTTTAAAGACAGAGTCCACACAGGAATCCAGAATTGCATCCTGTTCTCTTGAGCCCTCTTAGTGGCTTGAGTTAACATGCCCAAGCATGCCACTTATGCCCTTGCAGGAGGGCAGGAACCAGATGGAACCAAGGCCAGTAGAGTTTGAGCATCTCAGAAGATGGGCTGAGGGTGGGAATTGCAGGGAAGCCTGCCCTGCCAGGACAGACAGAAGCCTGATATCCTGCAGTGGGAGCCTCTGGAGCAATGCAACCTCTTTCAGAGCTTCATCTGGGCTTTAGGAGTTGGCAGCCACATTTCAAGTTGGCACCAATTTAGGAAAACAAGGGAATATTTTGGACCTTCTCCAAAGAAATCACCAACTTAGTTTATACCTGACAATTAACAAAGCAGCCTAAGCTGGTGGTTGGTGCCACCTAATCTGTGAATCGTGGAGAACTCGCCTCATCCTGCCCCCACAGGACTCCTGGGACATTCAAGTTTTAGAATGAGATTTGCCAAGGGTGCAGAATTAAAGCTGTGGCTCTCTATCTATAATTCACATCTGAATTATATATATGACAGGGAGTATCTGACCAAAATCAGTGCTAATAGGATGATGACATACATCAAAGTACCTCTAAGATCACTTAGCTGGGAGCATGGGCTGTAAGTAGAATACACATGATCTGTTTAAGTCACATGTAGAGACGTGTGAATAAATGCACACACGGAACATCATGAGAATACAATAAAGGGTTCATAACACTTATTGGGTAAAAAAGTCATGCAGGATATTAAAAGATCAGTATCACACTCAGTTCCCCAATAGGCATTCAGGAAGCAAGAAGAAAACAACAGGCTTATCTCACCCCACTCTTTCTTTCTGGGGTGATCAAGGGTAGCTACAGTCTTATAATTTTGAATATACTACTGCACTTTAGCTATCTGAGCCCCTCTATCTGTGGCCCCTTAAATCTTTCTTTGACTGAAAACAACACACATGTGCGCATACACATATCCTTGGGCTTCATCATTAAGAACTAAGAATTAGGGCCTCCCCACTGGTGCAGCGGTTGAGCTCTGGGTTGCGAAGCTGTCCACAGCCTCTGCAGCATGGGTTCAATTCCTGGCCAGCCAGGGAGAAACCCACATGGCGCAGCAGACCTCTCCTGTCTCACCTGCTGCTCCCCTCAGCAGTGTACTTCGGTCCTTCTGCCTGTTCTGTTCCCCGCTCTCTGGTGAAATTCTCTCACCCTCCTGTGCCTCTGACCTGTATCCCAGTTCTTGCATAAATAAATAAAATCTTAAAAAAAAAAAAAAGAACTAAGTCAACATTGGTTGCGTGAATTTATAGTGGAAAGTAATCATCTGCTATGCTCCTGAGAAAATATATGCTTATTGATGAGTAATTGGGCATATTAGGGAGGTAGGCAAGAATAAAATTAAAAGTAAAATTTCATACCAGATTCATGATTTCTCCATGCTTTTTGCACATTTGAGCGAGCTGCTTTTGCTCCTTGGTGTGGAGTGTCTCAAGTTCTTCCTTGAACTTTTCCAGTATGTTTTCAGCCAGGATATTCCTCTGTAATCCATTTGTTCCCCTTCCTCTCAAATAAATGACCTGGAACACAGAGACAGCATGAGCATGTGGCATATTCCCCTGCCAATCGTGACATCATCATGGGGAAGGAGGCGCGCTCTCCATGACAGAAGTGCACTCTGGATCAGGGAGAACAGGAGACCTACCCTGGGGAATGCTGACAGGACTTCTCCTTACCCCTCAAAATAACCCCTCCCCCTCCAAAGCCCTCTGGCCTGGGCAGTGTGCACATTCTTGTACAACTACAAAGACAGCCACCCCAACTGCCTCAGCTGAGCTGGGGAGCTGCCTTTTCTCACCCACAAGTCTGGCTAGTTAGCACCTGCTCTGATTTCCAGGGAAGCTGAGTCCAGTGGGAAGAACCAAGACTGTGTTGATAGATGTGCAGGCGACCCGGAAAAAAAGCATTAAGTCTCCTTGAGGGTGATGGATATCAGGACTGGCATCTCAATGAGATGATACCCAGACTAGGCATTGGGAACCAAAGTGCATTGAGCACATCTTTTATTTTCTGTTTTCTGAGACTTTGGCATCTAGCATCTTGCTGATCCTCCAGGATGGCCCCTCCCAAAGTTAGCTAACTACTGGAGTCTCATTCTTGGGTCTCCAAGCAGACAATTTGTCTAGACCCTTCTGTCTTTTCTGACTGTGCCACTTTGGGATGAGGATGAATGAATAACTATGTATTTGTTCTTGCGTGGCAAAAACATACAGTATTTGAGTCCAGGAGTCTGAAAGGAAAAAATCCAAATTCAAGTTCCAGCTATGTGAAACTGGAAACTATCCAAATATCTAAGTAGTGAGAAGGAATACATAACTAAGTAGAGGTGCGTGTGTGTATTGTCAGTGGACTACCCCACACAACAATAAAAAGATGAACTACTGGTATAAGAACACAACTGCATCTCAGAGAAATTATATTGGGTAAAACGCTAGTCAAAAACAGTATGTATGATATGATTCCTTTTATGTAATTCAGGCAAAACTAACCCATGGTGGAAAAAGTCAGAAAGTCTCTAGTGCAGAGTCACTCACCAGGAAGGACATGGGTGAGTGAAATATTCTAAGTTGTGGTCTGGGCATATTACATAGAGATAAAAGTTTATAATTCATTAGATAAAGCTCATCTCAGATGCACACAGTCACACATCCACCCCCTGTGTTTATACCACTAGGAAAATAGCCCGTGCCTTAAACATTAAGAGTGGGATTGGAAACTTTGGTTTCATGATCCATAAAATGAGGATCCCAGTTCCGCCTCTCTGCAAGGCCTTACACTGCTGTACGGGAATGCTTGTAAACAATAACATCCTTTAGAGACGTAAAGCTATCTTTATGCTTAAAGTGACTTTTCTATTGCTTCTTTGAAAAATGAGTGCTTGTTTAAGCTTTTAGTGGGCTTGGATTTGAAGATCAACTTTCCCTGGTACAATAAATCTCTTTTTCTAGATGATTCCCTCTCTGGACCAGGAGCCGGCCTGGCTCGGCTCTCTGGTCCACGGGCCCACAATCCTGTTCCCTGAGGGTTTGCTCAGGATGCAGTGCAAGAGGACACTTTGCTTCCACCCCAGCCTCTGGAGTGAGCAAGAACTCAGCTCAAAGGGGCCACCTGCCTTGAACCCCAGCAGCACTCACTACTAAGGAGAGCGGTATCTCCTCAAGAGCACAAGGCTCGGGCTTCCCTGGTGGTGCAGGGGGTTAAGCACTGCACTATGAAGCAATCCGCAGCCTCTGTAGCATGAGTTCAATCCCCAGCTGGCCAGGGAGCAACCCACATAGCGCAGCAGACCTCTCCTGACTCGCCCACACCGGCTGCTCAGCAGTGTATTTCAGTCAGTCTGCCTGTTCTGTTCCCGGCTTTGTCTCTGGTGAATCCTCTCACCCCCTGCATCTATGGCCTGTGCCCCAGCTCTTGTATGCATAAATGGATGGGTCTTTAAAAAACAAAACAAAAGAGTGCAAGGCTCCCTCTACAGTGGATTGGCCAGATCCCCAGTACCAGTATCTGGCACCTGGGCCTTTTTTCTTTTCATATAAAATTGAACAGCAGGGAAATATCCTGGAGGCCCTGTTGTGGGGTAACTAGGCACAGGGTGGACAGGGGGAACAGGCAGCAGTGGCGGGCAGGAAGGTTGGGAGGTAGGCAGGCAGCCAAGACTCCCAGCCCCCATGAATCTTTACTTTCTCTATGTTCTCTTGCGGTCTCACCTGTCCTGTAGTCACTCGTCCTCTTGTAGCCATCCCCTCCAAGCCGTCCTGAGTGACGCCACCCTTAGAGCCCAGTCTCCAGGCTCAGGTGTGCACACTTGCGCATGCCCACACCACACTCCAGGCGTCCACAATCAGGCATGCGTGCCCCGCGCCCACGCTCCCAAATGCCTTCTGCATCAACCTGATCAAGGCCACAGTTGATAGCCACAGTGGCTTCGGGCATAAAAAGCCTGATTAATTTAATTTACCCTACAGGCCCGCCTTGGAAAGCTTTCCCAATGTCCTCTTCTGCCCCATGTCCCACTGGGACAACTCGAAGCCCAGAGGCTCTGAGCCCAGTGGGATGAGATTCTCCCATACTTGCTCAACACCATGCCTGCTTCTGTGGGCTGCACCTCACAATGGCCCAGCCCACAAATCCATGTGAACAAAGGCCACCAGGACACTACCAGAGCTCCTGAATTTTCCTCCAAGTTCTCAGAGTCTGCAGGGTCATGTCTGCATCTGGAGGAGGAACCAGAGTGGGGAGTCTGTGGACTCAAATGTGTTATTTGAAGTCATGAGAAATTGAAGATGGTGATGGAGCCCCTGTGGGTGAGCTGAGGAGCTGCTGCCATCGAATGCTCAGCCCACAGGCGGGAAATTCACGTCAGATGGGGAAAGAAATAGGTGGACGAGCACATTATTTACAGGAATGGAGGTAGCTGTGGGAAGAACTGCTACGGGGCAAAGGGCCTAAAACCAACACCAGATCAGAACTTCTGTCACTGGTCCTAAATCCAAGCACTTGCTGCCATTAATGCAAACAAAAGGTCCTTTGGTCTAGCAAAAGAGGGGGGAAATGATTTATTTTAACTAACAGGGAAGAAGAAGAAAGAGAAATAGCCAAGTAGAGAGGGAAAAGTTTCCACTACCGAGGATCATGTGAGGTGGAGCTGCAGCTACAGAGCTGGCTGGATGTGGCAAGGTCTACGCATCTCATGCCAGGGCCTGCAGCTCCCTGGGCTAAGTCTCATCAAGTCCTGCCACCACTGTGGGGACAAAGGCCAGTCACTGTGGTGGGCAGCTGCCTTCTGCAGCCATCCTGACTTTGGAGCCCATATGCATCCCTCCCTTTTAAGGTTTCCTCAAAGCGGCCAATCTGCTCCCCCACCTCCCTAGTAAACTCCTCTTTCAGGATGTCAGGGGTAGATTTCAGTGAGAAGAGCATCATGGTTTGTGTCCATCCTGGGAAGCCCCAGGGGTGCAGGACTCAGTTGCCCTGGGTTTCTCCAACAGAACCAAGTAGAAAAAGATCAGAGTTTGCCTCTGGGCAATGGGAATGTGTGGGGGACATGGAACCAGGCGCATGACTTTTCATTAGGAACTCTTTTCTAGGGTTTACCCTTTTAATCCTGTGTGTTACTGTAATATGATTTTAAAAGAAATACACAAATAAGTGAAAAATTCAAGTTGAAAAATGAAAAACATAAATAAATCCAAGCATCTGGCGCTTCTGAACTACTGCCCTGCTTCCCCTCATTGCCTCCCCACCCCTGCATAGCCAATCGATTACTGTTTTGGGGAATTGGGCACCTATTTCTCTAAGCAGCCTGTTCTCTGTTCCTTCTGATTCAGGATCCTGAGATAGCTTTCCTTTTCTTGCCATTGTTTCATTCTATATATTTCCTTCCTTTCTTCCACAAATACCTGAAAGATCTGGAGAAACACCAATCGTGGTTCCTATGTCCCAGATGAAGAGACACTATACAAGTCATTGCTCAAAAGGTTCCATGGCTATTGGGGCGCTGTTGAAGCCAACACTACCATGACCCTTTCCAGGCTAAACATTTTGCCTGGCTCCCCACTGCTTCCAGGAAAAAAAGCAAAATCCTTTGCATAACTTGTAAGACCTCCTTTAATATCCCTGACTTTCTTTCCTGGTGGGTCCCTTAGCGCACTGGCAGCCCCACAACCCTCCATTCAAACCTCCCGATCAGCTGGCCAGACCTAAGTAGCCATGGGTTGACAACTGTTACCCTCTTTTCCCAGAATGCCCTCTCCAGCCACATCTCCCTGCTATGCAGACACTCCCAGGTGTCACCTCCTCTGAAGCCTTCCTTGACTGCCCCTTGGGTCTCTCACTGTGTGCAAGTTGCCTGTTCCTGCAAGGACTAGTACTCATGTCTGAAGCTGGGGCCCCTACACAGAGATCAGGCCTCTGGTAGTAAATAACTAAACACTTTACTCACCCAGTGTGTGCTGATTAATGGCAGTGGGCATATTTTATCCATGGCCGGTCTGTTAGAAGCGTCTCTCTAGCAGTGAGCCAATCTGCATGTTGTCCAGTAGCTCCTGATAGATTGTCCAAGCTGCTCCTTACCTGCCCCCAACAGCACTCAAAGATGTGGGTTATGGCGTGTCTGCACTATACAAGCTGAACATCCTTCCCAGAGGAGTGGCAAGGACCACAGAGCAGAAAGAACTCTGCTGCATCAGATAGTAAAAGGCATGACCTTTTCTTACCTTCCGACACACGGGGCAGCAGAACTGTCCATTGTCATGGGTGCAATTCTGGCACACCAAGACCAGATCCAGGCACTGCTTGCAGAAGTTGTGGGAGCAGGAGAGTAGCAGCACAGGGGGTGTGAACAGCTCCATGCACACTGGGCAGGACAGCACCTTACTCAGGCCCTCCATGGCCTACAGACACCTGAGCCTAGTCAGGCTTCTAGAACAGGCATGGAACTCAGCTGTGGGAGACAGGTCACAATTGAGCCGCAGATGCACAGTAAGCCTACAGATACCTGTGGTGCCAGGATGGATGTGTGTGTATGTGTTTGTGTGTGTTTGTAGTTCTGTGAGTGTGTATGTTGTGTATGTGTATGTATGTAAACTGTGGCCTGCAATTAAATCCAGCCCACATCTTTTTGTCCTGCTTATGAACCACAAATGGTTTTTGCATTTTTGAGAGTGGTAAAAAACAAAAACAAACAAAAACCAAGTATATGTAACAGAGATCAAGTGTGACCTGTGAAATCTAAAACATTTACTTTTCAGCTCAGAAAATGTTTGGATCCTTTCTAAGTTAGAGGATAAGCATAACTGGGATCTAGCCCACCACCCATACACATTCAACTCACATCCACATTACGGGTCAGTGGAGACTGGGTGAGGATTGGGGTGCCATGGGCCAGCATGTACCAGGACTGCCAGCTTCATTCCTCCTATTGTCCATGAACTGCTGCATTAGGTCAGCGTTAATCCCTCCTGCTCTATAGCTCTGCCCAACCATGGTCTCTGGCATGTTCCTAGCTTGTCCTAACCCCACACAGTCTTTTGTGAAGTGGGGTGACTGTGCAACCCTTAGAGGCCGTGTTGTTTCTAGAAGATCAGTTGCTCTTATCCAAGAGCATTGACAGAGCACCAGGCTGAACAGGCAGTATTCACATCCCTTCTCTTTTATCCTTCAAGACTCTAAGAGCTTCACATCATTAGCTTTCCCAAGTCAGGGATTCTGAGACAAAAGAGGTTGGATGACTTGTTCATAGTAGAGCGATGACATGTTGTATTCCTTGCTCCTCACAGGCCACATCACCTCAGCGATGAGGTGAAAATGGAGGAACTGAGGGAACTGGGTTGACCTGGTTAGTAGGTTCTCACCTGTATGCTTAAGAGTGCAGGACATGACCAAAAAGCACAATGAGAAACAACTATTACAGGTTATATTTACACAGGATACGAGAAAGGGAGAGCTGAGAGAGAATTTATAGGCTGGCAAGTGCAGATGACAGCTGTCTTATCTCAGATAGCATCCACTGAGCACAGACTGAGGTCCAAGCTGAAGCTGCATGTGACTTGGAACAGTCTGGAAGGTTCTACCTTCTATCATTCAATTGCCTGTGAGCATCATCCACTGGCTTGGAGTTTGCTCCTCACTGTTCCTCATAAGGAATCCTGCAGATGTGAAAGTTCTGGTGAAATGTCAGCTTCCTCACACTCCTAGAGGTGCCATGTACTCCATATGTCACTAACTCCATATGTCCACTGGTGATTATATGCCAATTCATTCAATGACCAGGTTCAATAAAGTAGAGTTAGAAATTTATTGCTTGACAAGTAATAGAGAGGGAAGAACTCTCTCTAAAGCACCTTCTCACAGGGAGAGGCATGGTTAGGAACAAAGGAAGGGTGTAGTTAGAAGTGGGGTTCCCTTTGTAGGGGTAGGGTTCCCTTTGGGGTCCAGTCAGAGAGGTGCTCCATGGTGGGGAACACTTGGCCTCCTAGGCCTTACAGGCTTGGCGTGAAAAAATAGAGGGACTGAAATTTTGGACAAAGAAACTATTTGGAGGTGGGTATGGAGGAGGGGGGTTCAGAGGTATGAGGTCTGCTAGGTTCCTGTCAGGCCAGGCCCCAGAGACCGCAGGGCTCTGGAGGGGCTGGAAAAGTCAAGATGTGTCTGTTCAAAGATGTGAGATCCAAAGACTGTTGGAAGAGATGTGGGCAAGGAGATGGAGCTGCAGGAGTGTTGCCCAAGAATGACGGTACAAATTGGAAGACAGCTGTGGGGGGGGGGGGTCTAGGCCGAGATGCTGAGGATGGGGAGCTAGGGTCACTCTGCTTTGGAGTGGAGGCTGAGAAAGAGGGTCAATTAAATAGCAGCCACTTCTTATAAAGGTGCTCACCCACCCACCCAGCTTCTCTTAGCCTTGTAACCAATGGACTCAACTGAGTCCACAGGGACACAAACCCGAGCTTGTTGTATTGTCTTTGGTCATAACCGCCAAAAAGTAGAGCCAATCCGAATGCTCTTGAGGCAATGATCTGTCTGCATGATGGGAATGTCCTTGGCCCAAAAGTTGAGCAAATGTCTGACACTCCCAACAGCAGGGATGAATCTTGGATGAGGGAGAAGCCAGACACCAAAAAGGCTGGGTGTTGTGTAACATTCTGGAAAATGCAACACCAGAGAGACAGAATGCAGATGGGCAGTTGCAGCGGTTGGGTGGGGTGACAAAGGGTCCCACAGGCACTCCCTGTACTGACAAATGGTACAATGTCTCCATTGTGGTGGTGGTTACACCACCGGGTGTGTGAGTCAAAACCCAGACATGAAGAGCAGAGAACTTGACTCCATATTAATTATATTTCACAATATCTAGCTTTAAAATAAGCAGTCACTGGGGTGACCACCTTCATGGGGAAGGTGACTGACCAGTGGTGGCTGATGTTGTTGAGAAGCATTGAGGGATGAAAGTGGGAAGGGGTCCCCACATGAGTCTGGTTCTCTGAGCTGCCATCCCCCTTTCTTGCTGGTCATCCTGCCAGTGACAGCCTTGGCAACGACGACCCATGTCTGACAGCCCATGTGGGCACATTGGAGCAGGGAAAGCTCCTTGATCACTTCTCAAGAGTCAGGAGAGCTCCTTGAACATCCCAATTCCTTGGCCAGCTGAGACCCAAGGGACAGAGAAAAGTATTTTCCCTAGGGTGAAGAGATGATCCTAAGCTAGAGGTGAGGTCTCTGAGCTCTGGGCACAGTTTGTTCCTCAGGGTGTCTGTAACACAAATAACACAATAGCCAGCCTGCTTGCCATGAAATTGGGACTTGCCCTCTGGCCTGGCTGGAGACCAGCCCTCCGCCTGGGCCATGTGCTCCAGGACGCAAGTCTACATTTTAAGGAATAAGCTTTGTTGAAGGCTTCTGGTCCCAAGCCCTGTGTGCCAGCTAGGGGACACCATAACTGGAGGGTCCTGGGCTTTGGGGGACAGTGGACCCAGGCCCAAGGAACCCGCCCAACATCTCCCTGGTATAACAATGGGACCCAGAACCACTGAGAGCTGATATTTTAAAGCCGGGGGGAATATCTGAGTTGATTTCAAGAAGGAAAAGAAATGTGCTACTTCTTGCCCATCTGTGTTTATGGAGTTAAAAAATTACCAGGGGGAGGGCTCTTTGAAATTTGGCAACCAGAATGACCATTAGTTTTGTTTCTACTTCAACCCTCTCCTGCAGTTCAGGGACAGAGAATTATTTGTCAGAAAAAAAAAGGTTGCCTCCAAATAGTTTCTTTGTCCAAAATTTCAGTCCCTCTATTTTTTCACGCCAAGCCTGTAAGGCCTAGGAGGCCAAGTGTTCCCCACCATGGAGCCTCCTCCCTGCTAAGAGTTCACTGCCTGGCTGTGGCGGCCCCCAGGGCCACGGCAGGGACGCCCAAGGAGCTCCAGTGGGAACCAGTGACACCAGAAGGAAAGAATTTAGGTGCCCAAATTTAATTCAACTTTCTGCTCTGTGGCTGGGACACAGCACTTACTTTCTTTTTTTTTTTTTATATTATTTTTTTTATTTTTTACATCATTGTTCATTTTAAAACAATATTTGCTTCCCCCCACCCGCTCCCGTGTAGTCCCCCTAGAGTTTCCTTCCCCAAGGCCCCGTGCACCCTCACCTCAGTCCCCTGTGCTCCTCCCTCCCTCCCTCTGATCCCTCTCCCTCCTCCTCCCCTGCAGGATGTCTCTGATTTATAATTGTCCGTTTTTTGCTTTGTTGTGTTTTGTACTGTTGTTACTTTTTTACACTGATGTCCTATTTGGTTCCCCTATATTCCTGCTCTAAGTGAAACAGCACTTACTTTCTGAAGCGCCATTTCTTGTTTGCCTGAAGTTTATTTTACACACGGGGTTTTTTCATGACTCACAGTTCCTGGGTGGCAGCCAGAAGGTTCGTTTGTCAGAATTCCTGGGGTGAGCACTTTTGAACACCAAGAGCTTTTGTGGGAGGAGACAGAACTTTCCTCTGAAAGTTTTCTGAAGCTTCTTTAAAAAATCAAAAATTCGGTGCCTTTTAATTAGTCTGTGAATGCCAATTGTCAAAATTTTTAATTGTTAAAAAAAATAATTACGTGGCCCCAACAGCTGCATCTCCTTCTGAATGCCTTAAACTTAGAAAGCAGGAAGACAAACATCTGGTAACAGAGGTTGTGTTCAGAATGGGCGGTGGCCAAAAAAATCCATGCTTTAGTCAGAGTCTAAAAAATAGTGTTTTACTTTTCCAAGCAATATTTAGAGACAGAGGTAGCTGAGGAGGGAAGTTAAGACATCTGCTAAAAGCAGTTTTCCCAATCCTGTCCTTCAGAAATTCTCAGGGGAAAGAAAAAAAACACTTTAAGTAAGAAAATTTAATTTATTAAAAGATAATTTAGACTGTAAAAACAAAGCTCTTGCTATAAAAATATTGCGTAACTCACAGTTTCCTTGAAGATGGCGAGTCAACATGAGAGCCCCGTTGTGGGCTGGACATTTCTTCTTAACTTCAAAAAATAACACAGTTAATATGTGGGCACATTTCTGTTATTAAAAATTCAAATAGTGCAGTTAAAGCAAAGTCCCTCTGGAATGGAATGGCCATCTCAGTCCCTTTACCAGAGAATTCCACCATGACCATTCTAACATTCCTTCTTCCAAAACGTTTTCTCCTTATTTGCAAACATTTTAATTTTATTTTTAACAATTGACATACACTGTTTAAAATGACAATCTGGTAAGTTTTGATATATGTACACCCCTGAAACCAATATGGGGAGCAAATCCTCTTACCCCTCTGTGATTCTTCCTTCCTATGGCAAGGGAATTAAAAACAAAAATAAACAATTGGGATTGCCTCAAGTTAAAAAATTTCTATACAGTGAAAGAAAATACAAGACAACTAAATAGGCACTTTACTGAATGGGAGAAAATATTCACACAATATATAAATGACAAGGGATTAATATCCAAGACATTAATAATAAATTAATTAATATCCAAGATATAAAAATTCACACAATTCAACAACAAAAAACCCAATTAACAAATTGGCAGCAGATAGGAACCAAAAATTCACCAAAGAGGGATATCCAAAAGACAGAGACATATGAAAAGAATGTTCATTTCTACTTCTAATAAGAAATGCAGATTAAAACTACAATGAAATACCACCTTACACTTGTGAAAATGGCACATATTGCTAAAACCCCAACAACAAATGGAGAGGATGTGGTAAAAAGAAACCCTATTACATTGTCACTGGGAATGTGACCTGGTGCAACCATTATGGAAACAACTGGGATTTACCTTAAAAACCTGAAAGTAGAAATACCATATATACCCAGCAATCCCACTCTTGGGCATATAGTCACAGATTATGAGACCATCAACAAAACCCCCACATGCTTTGCAATGTTCATCACAGCATTATATAAAAGAGCTAGGACATGGAAACAGCATAAGTGGATGGATGGATGATTAGACCAAGAAGAGGTGGTATATCCACACTATGGAATATTATATAGCCATAATAGAGGATGAAATAGTTATTTTTTTAACAAAGTGGAGGAAATTTGAGAGAATTATGTGCAGCAAAGTCAGTCAGAATGAAAAAAACAAATACAGACAATTTGATAATAGAAAACACTCACAAATTAGTAGACATTAAAAAGCATACTTAGGGCTCTGAGGTTAAGAGAGAGGGGAGAGAGAGGGACAGGGGGACAAAAAAGATGGTGGTGGAAGAAAAAAAGCTATTTCTTAAAAAGAAAGAACATCACTGTCTGTTTCAGACTGCAGCATGAAGTCTGCAGTGACTTTAGTCACTTCCTGTACAAGTCACTAAAAAATAATAAAAGTGAAGTGGATAAACTATGATCAAACTGTCAGACAAGGCAGATGCACATATTTGATGTTATGAGAGAGGCTGCTCAATTCTATGTGCCTTTTACGTCACTGATCTGTCTTGAATGGCAGCCTGAACTTGAAGATCCCACGTACCAACTGCTGCTATTGCAGCTGCAACCTCTACTCTCTCTTCCTGGACCACACATCCCATGAACCATAACCGTGGGAGGATTAAAAGAGAGAGAGAGAGAAAAAAAAAAAAGGCATTCTAACATAGCCCCTATGAAAATCTTCATTTTTTTAGAGCTCATTCTGAAATATTAGGTAACAGTCTTTTACTTTGCAATTACATGTTTCTGGCATAATTTCATCTTTTACAGGAATGTTATTCTGCACTTAATCCTTTAATCTTTTAAATTCTTTTTATGACTTTATATGGGATGAAAACTACAGCCCTGCACTGCTCACACTGTGTAAGCTGGGGCAGAGCTGCTTCCAGGCTTCACAGCTTGGGAATTTCTCACTCTGTGGGTTTTGAAAGTGATGAAAAAATGGCCACCTGTTCTGTCCCTCCCCTGAGTTCTAACTAGATCTCTTTCCTTTTGGCTAATTCCTCCTCCTGCTCAAATCTGGTCAAATGGAATTTTATTTCTATCAGCGTCTCCTTCCTGGGGAGCTTTTTGGGAAAGCAGCTTTGGGTTGTTAGTTTTGAGTTGATAGAGGCCTCCCCTCTCACGAATACCTGGGGACCCAAGACCCTTCCTTCCAGGGTCCCTGCAAGCTTCAAATGTTTTCATTATAACACAAAGACATTGTGTGTGTTTCCCATTCTCATCAATGTGCAGTGGACTTTCCCACTGTACAAGATGTGAGCTAGTATAACAAATTAAATGCAGAGAATTTAGCTGTCTTATAGTGAATCAGATCTTTTTTTTTTTTTTAAGATTTATTTATTTATGCATACAAGAACTGGGGTACAGGCCAGAGTTGTGGGGGGTGAGAGGATCTACCAGAGACAGAGTGGGGAGCAGAATAGGTGGATTGACTGAAATACACTGCTGAGGGGAGCAGCGGGTGAGTCAGGAGAGGTCTGCTGTGCTGTGTGTGTTGCTCCCTGGCCGGGGATGGAACTCGTGCTGCAGTGGCCGCGGATTGCTACATAGGTTGTGTCTTAACCACTTGTGCCACCAAGGAGGCTCTAGTGAATCAGATCTTAAAGAGGTTGGCAAAATTGTGTAACAATGCTATTCTTTTCATTCATTTTTTGCTTTGGAATATTTTTCAGAAAAATATTTTTGTTAACAAGTCCTGTATGGGTTTATGTTCTTTTAAAATAACTTTAGAAATGTGTGTTAATGTCCAATATGTAAATACTAGTAAACATAATACATATAAGCAAAAACTCTTTGAGGACATTAATGATTTTTAGAGCACAGGGTCCTGAGACAAACCAGCCTGAGCTGCTTCTGCCAGAGCCAGGGTTTTTGTGCTTTTTAACAACTTTCTCATCACCTGCCCAGGGCTCCACTGGTTGCTGAGAGTGGGGTGTTGAAGTTCCAACTTTAACTGTGGCTTTGTCTGTTTCACCTTTTAGCGCTTTCAGTTTTTGCTAATATTTGTATTTGGAAGTGTGGTTGTTGGGTGTGTACATATTCAGGATTATGTGTCCCTGGTGGCCTAAGCTTTCATCATCATGTGATGTTCTCAGTGATTTTCTTTGCTCTAACATCTACTTTTTCTGATACTAATATTAGTATTGTTAAAACCATTATATGTGTGTGTGTGTGTGTGTATATATATATATATATATATATATATATATGCTGTACACATAGGGTTATATAAAGCCACTCCTGCTTTCCAAAAAAATTAATGTTTACACGGAATATCTTTCATCTCTTTATATATAAAGTAAATCTATTTATAACTTTGTGTTTTAGTGAGTTTCTTGTGGTCAGCACATAATTAATATTTTAAGCCTACTCTGCCGATCTATTTTTTCATTGGTGCATTTGGACAATTTGAACTTAGGGTAATTATTGATGTTAGGGTGTTTAAGTGAGCCATTTCATCCGTTGAGTCCTGCTTCTGCTTGCTTTCTGGGCTTCTTATTCTCATTTCTTTTCATAAAATTTCCTCTGGGTTACTTGAACATTTTTTAAAAATTCCATTTTGATTGTTATAGTTTTTGAGAGTATCATTTTGCATAGTTTTCTGTGCTTTCCAGGTATTACATAAACAACCAAGTAACTTGACACAGTGAATTGGTGGTGTTTTACTCCAGTGAATGAAGAAACATCACTTCCATTGTGTCTGCACACCCCACATCCTAGGTGTTTGCTCTGCACACACTGGACACCACATCAGATGCTGTTAGCATTTGTGCTTCAACCCTTAACTATGCTTTAGTGAACATAAGAGGACTGTCCATATCAACTCCTTCCAATGTCCTTTTTGGAACTCCAAGCCTCCTTTTCTTTTCTTTAAGATTTACTTATTTATGCATACAAGAACTGGGGTACAGGCCAGAGATGCGGGGGGTGAGAGGATTCACGTGAGACAGAGTGGGGAACAGAACAGGCAGACTGACTGCAACACACTGCTAAGGGGAGCAGCAGGCAAGACAGGAGAGGTCTGCTGTGCCATGTGGGTAGTTCCCTGGCTAGGGATCGAATTGTGCTGCAGAGGCTGCCGATAGCTTCCCAGTGCTGTGCTTAACCCATTGCACCACCAGGGAGGCCCTCCAAGCCTCCTTCTGTTGCAAGTCCTTGTGTTTAGAGAGCTTCCTTTTGCAGTTTACATCAGGCAGGCCCCTGCTGGGTGGGTGTATCTGTAGGGTCCTGCCAGGGACTGCCCTGTCTGGAAGTGCTGACTCACACTGACAGCTTGCAAATGGCCAGGGGGCAATTCAGCTCCCCCCAGTCCCCCTTTGCCTTCCACAGCACCTATTACCTCCAGAGAGGTGTGAGCTCACCTGACCATGTGAGCCATTAATGCCAGGGAAGAGGAGGGTGGAAGGCAACATGACAACTACTGAGCTCACCTCCTCTTGTTTGTACTTCCTTTATGCTCTGCTGACCCAAAGTGAGGACAGTGGATCAACTTCCCCTTGCACCCTTAATCTCACAGATGCTGGGTGGACCCTGCTGACATTGGGGTCACTGGGTGTGGGGGAGGGACCAGAGTGATGACCAACCCTGCTGTATTGCATGTTGCTTAGTCTCTGTGGCACAGGGGGAGAGAAGAGGATGCTGTAGTTCCCTGAGGGGTCAATGGCACCAGAGTGGGAAGAGGTGAGACAGGATTGTGACCAGCTCCCCTTGCACTGCAGTAAATCCTGCTGCTGGCCCGTGGCGGTGGGGGTGGGGGGTGGGCAGAAAGGGTGGGTCCAGGACTCTACTGGCTGATGTGGCCCCACTCCCACCATAGGGTGGGGAATCAGGGCTCCAATACCTTCTGATGGGTGGGCAGGAGGATCAGGCCCCACTCACCCAGTACCTGCTTCTACTAGGTGACACAAAAGGGTGGGATACTGGTCTCACAACAGTTGCTGGTGTTTGCAGCAGGTGCTGTCAGAGCATTTGCTATTGTTAGGCTGCCCTTTCCTGGTCCTTTGTCTGGGGGCAGGTGTCCCATGCATTTTTTTGTCTGTGCCTGTTGACAGGCAAGGAGGCTTCTGATGCAACATCTGAAAGCATGGGAGCTGGGAGGCTACAGTGGTGCTCCTCAAACGCCAGGTGCCCTACCTGCCCCCTGCAGGTGTTACATCCAGGGTTGTAAAATGACGATCTGGAGGAAGGTATTACTTCCATCTGGGTCAGAACCAATCTCTGCATTGGAGTTAAAGTGGGAGTGTGACAGCAGAACTTTCTTCCTTTCTTCTTACCCTCCTCCTCTTATCCACATGAGGGGTCCCTTCTTTGTGCCAGGTATTACACTAGGTGTTGCAGGTCCACGAATGAAAAGGAAGAAAACCAACAAATACAGCAGCATGTGTTAAAAGTCCTATAAGAGGTATGTACATAAACAAGCACTTGAGAGAAGAGGATGCACTAATGGCCCCAAACATGGAATAAGATACCACGTTGAGACACTTTCTCATACCAGGCGGATCTGGTGAAAATCAAGGTCAGACAGTATAGTGTTGGCAAGGAACCGGAGCAATGGGAACTCACAATCACCACTGCTGTGAGTGAGTATAAACGATGCAATCATTTCTAGAAATATTGCCACTGCCTGGGAGACTGGACATGTGCCTTCTCTGCAGCCCACGAAGTCCAATCTGGGCTACACAGCCTACAGAATCTTGCACATGTGCACAAGTGTTTATATTTATGTACAATATGAGCCACCCAACATCCGTTACGAGTTGAGGCGACATGGTGGTGAATCCACACAATGCTGTGGAGACACACACAGCAGAGTACACATCAGCATAGATAAATGTTGAGAGGTTGAACCAAAATGCCAGTCACAGGAGAACACGCAGCACATTCTTCAATTTATGTGAAGTTTTAAAAGGCAAACACACAAGGTATGGTGGCGGCACTGAGAAGAGCAGGGAATTTTGTCTCCTGTGTTAGATTCTTAGGGCTTCCTTAACAAACACCACAGACTGGGTGGCTTAAAGAACAGACATGTCTTTCTCGAAGTTCTCGGAGGCTGGAAGTCTGAAATCAAGGTGTGAGCAGGCTGGTTCCTCCTAAGTCCTCTTCGGCTTTTGAAGTGTGGCTGGCCTTCTCCTCCCTGTGTCCTCAAAGGTCTGCCCTCTTTGCATGTCGGTGTCCTGGTCACCTCTTAAGGACACTAGTGTTAGTGTCCACCCCAATGACCTCATTTTACTTTAATCATTCCTTTAAAGACCTATCACTAAATACAGTCACATTCTTAGATGCTGGGGGCTAGGAATTCAACTTATGAATTTTGAGTGGATGTAATTTTGCCCACACCTTCCCATTTTCTTGGGCTGTGGGGTAAAACAAGGAGTTCAATGAGTTTTGAATGACAGTTGAGTTTTGAAAGACACTGGGAATTAACTGATATAAGTTGTAGTAGATGTATGAAACCTTTCCTTGCAGTGCAAAGGTTCTGTGATATTGAAGTCTTATTGAAACACTATTTTTAGTGACTGGATGTTTTAATGGATAGCTTAGAATGAAGGTTTGCACAGTCTACTACTGAATGGCTCCTTTGTGAGCACTTATAAATCAGTTTTATTGTGTCAGGCTAATCAGAGATCAGCTCACGCCTAAAAGCATAGCTAAAAAATAATGTGCCGTTGCATAATAGGATTTTTCTCTGGTTATTTTATCTGTAAACAATGTTCAACCATCAAGCATTGGAGAAGGGCTCCTTTAGGTAGGCTGCTAAACTTGGGCCACATTCATAAAAATAAAAAACAGCAAAGGGAACATCATTCTTGATTTGTGCTGAAAATGTATTAACACTTATGAATGTGGAACCACCAAGATCTCATGAGCAAGCTGTCATTTTTAATCAATTCTCCAAATTTGGGGGCCTTCAGATATCGAGAATTTGGGGCATGCATTGTTTACAACACATTGTCTCTGGAAATTTTTTCAGCCATCTAGGGAATAGTCTGAAGCAGCAACCAATCATATGAATAGTAAATGTTCATTTTAGAAAGTAAGAGAAACTTCATCCCATTGTGGATAGTAAGATAGCAAGTTGCTCAGTTGCTCAGTGGAGGTTAGCACTAAAGGGACCTCTGAGCCCAGATAGGTGCTCCATGTTGGGTAGTTCACCTGGTTAAGATCTCCACAGACTGTGGCTTCAGAGCAGGGTTCAGAGTCAGTGAGACCAGGTCCTTCAGTGTAAATAACCCTTCTCTTCAGTCTGGTGAAAGCGGTTCTAATGTTGCCACCTTGTCATATCTGCCAAGAGGCAGATTTGTATCCTCTGGGCCACAAAGAGAGGTGAGAAGGCAGGAGTCTCACTGGCCATCAGATCTTCCTCACCATTGCTCTAGAACTCTCCACTCCAGTACCCTGCCTTGTCATCCTGAAACAATGGCCATCATGGCTAGGCTAGTTAATGATTTGACCCACAGCTTAGCTTGCCCATCAGGGAAATCTAATGAAAATTATGTCTTTCTCATCAGGAGCAAGCCAAAGAACAAGATGACAAGGGATATGAGTTGTTCTTTTCATTTATTCAAATAAACACAATACCCGTATACAGCCTGATTAATCTCTCCCACCATCTCTCTATTTCGGGCAGGTGCACTTGGAGTTTAGACGGGCACCACCATAGTTACATCATGTTTGTATAGGATCTGTCCTCTCATCTGAAACCACGAGTAAGTAACTGATTTCATCCAGATGCCAACAGTCACTAGACCAATGAGCCATAGGGTCACTGCCCATGTGGGGCTGGCCAAGATGAGGACCAATATCATTTGTGGTAAAAAATATATTTTTATAATGTACCTTTGGATAAAGTATAATTGTTTTTTACCCTTTTTTTTCCTGGATTAGGCACTTGAAAAAGAAATTTCAGGAATGGTTACCCAGTTCATTAAAATTCATTGGATTTGATTTCCTAAAACATTTCAATGTGGAAGAAAATAGTACTTAGCCAGCACAGTTAGTAAGACTGATAATGACAGAAATAATTTTGATGTGCCAGAGCATGAATCAAAATGTAGGCATTGAAGAAATTTCATTTGCTGTAAATTCATCTTGCTTCCCCTAAAATTCCGTCTTTACACAGAAGTTTCTTCAATTTGAAGTTGGTTTGACTGATGTCACTTTTAGTGGGAAAAACTGTCCTCTTTGAGGTTTGGTCTCTGTTCCTCACATATTTTCATTGGCTTCATATTTTCATTTTCATATGGCTTCAATAGCTGATTGATAGTTTGGTCTACAAGGAACTAGCTTACGCAGTTAAATCTTATCGAAAGGCAGCAGGGGCAAAATAACTTGCATGGGTCAAATTCAATTTAAAAATCTCAATTCTCATAGTAAAAAAGCAGCCAGAGACAGGGCTCTGAGGCCATGGCGCTATGGGCTGGCAGCTGTGGGGGGTGTAATCTAGCTGTCACAACAGCAGTGTGGGCAGACTGCCTCTGGGTGTGGCTATTGCAGGACAGCAGGGCCACACAGAGCCCGACAGAGCTGGTTCCTTCCTGTGGTGTCCTGCTCCCTAACTGCGCCCCTCAGAGTCAACGCTGGTCCCAAGTCCTCTGTAAAGATGTAATGTGGCTCAGCGCACCCAGGGGAGTGGGGTAAGGCCTGACCTGCTGAGAATGCTCCTGTCCACCAAACTCTTCTGGAAGCCTGACAAAGGGCAAGTTACCCTCTACAACAAAAACCCAACCATCTCACAATGGACCCTTTAATGTAAAACAAAATCATTTTGAAAAATAATACACTTTGAGACTTTTTGCCTCATTTATATAAAAAAGAAAAAAACAAAAAAATTCAAGATTCCTTTAAAAATCTATCATAACCTTCTCAGTAACAAATATAAAGCAGTTTAAGACACTTGGTGACTTCCTTAGGTCATGTATCAGGAGTTGGATATGCAGTGATGTTTCATTCCTAAAATTTCTATTTGGTAAAAACTCTAGGAAGAGTTCTGTCGACAAAAAAACTGTTTTGGAAAGAAGAGTGACAACTTCCCCACAACGTCAAAAAGATTAAGTATGTAAATACCACACGCTTGAAATATTAATACAATAATATTAATTCCGTTAAATAAATAAAAGTGGCACCAACTTTATGGCAATTTTCAATACAAAAATGTAGCTCAAGAATATTATTGAAAATAAATAATTGCTCCAAACAGGAACAAGCATTCTTAACACAAGCCAAGAGCCTCTGAGATAAAGTGCCAGGAGACAGAGCAGACCACACTGCCAGTGACCTTCAGACCTGAAATAATCACCAGAAGTCAGCTTCACTAAATGACAGGTGTAGGGCCATCTTTTGTCATTTTTCTCTTTTTTTCCAGTGTGTTTTTAAATATTTTCTTCAGGGTGTTGTAAACTATTGGTCCATTCTCAGAATCAAAATTAACCTGGCAACAAAGAAAATTTATATTCAGGACACCGTAATGTAAACTTTAACGAGTCTCTATTGTACAAGGGAGAAAAACAGGCGGAAAAAAAATAAGACTATTATTAGTCTTAAGGCTAATTAAGACTAATAATTAAGACTATTATTATATTAAATATATATAATTTTAAAAGTACACAATACAGTTTACATAGTCATTTTAACTGAGCGACTATATTAGAAGTGCCAATCATGTCAACACCAAACTTATGAATAAGAAAAAATCCAAAATTAATTTAGTGCCTAGATCAAGTGAGTGTGACATGCATATGCAGCCCTGTGTGCTCACAGGGCTGTGCACAGGGGAGAGATGCAAAAACAGTCTCCTAACACTTGGAAAGATTTGGAACAACTGGTATATTTAACTGTTCATTAGTATCTTCCCTTAAAAGGCCAACAGGTGTTGTAAAGGATTCCTACCACTTCAGAAAGACCAATACTAAGGGTTTTTTTCAGTTAAATTAAGAAATTTAATTTTATCCCAACCATTATAGTATGCAGTCTACTTGCAAAAACTTTTTTTTTTAAAGACTTATTTATTTATACAAGAACTGAGGTACAGGCCAGGGGTGTGGAGGGTGAGAAGATTCACCAGAGACAGAGTGGGGAGCAGAATGGGCAGACTGACTGAAATACACTACTGAGGGGAGCAGCAGGCAAGTCAGAAGAGGTCTGCTGTGCCATGTGGGTCTCCTCCCTGGCTGGGGATCAAACTCATGCTGCAGTGGCTGCTGATAGCTTCATAGGTTGTGTCCTAACCCCATGTGCCACCAGGGAGGCCCTTTGCCCCTCTCCCCACATAAGAAGGTAGCCTCTTGGTCTATGATAACTTAAATATAGATGTAGAAACTCATGTGACTAGGGGTTGAGACAATGACTCTGGAAAGTATTGAGAAGTATCTAATAGGCTGCAAAAATCACTACTTACTTTGGAAAGAGTAGAGGGTAGAGACTGGTGAATGCGTACAAATAATAACTGCTATTATCATTAGCGGTTTACACATGCTGGCACTGAAAAGCTGGATTCTTTGTTCATTGAGGTTCTCATGTCATATGTGAGAGATACCAACACATTAGCTGGAGGAATGAGGGAACCTTTTCTCTTGGCAGAAACCTGGCTTCTTTCCTCAGCCAGGAAAGATTGCTGCAAGCTAAAGGAATGTGCACTGAAAGGAAACTTTAAAAAAAAAAAAATCTCTTTGGTTAGGATTTGCCAACCAGGACACGGCATTGAATTGTCAAGCTTGAATGTTGAATTCTTAACAGGTGGATGCTGAATTCTCAACAGATGGTTACTTGTTCAGACCCTAGGTAAAACTGGCTCAACAAGAAAAGATTCTCTGACTTCTGCTAGGCACATGATTTAAAAATACATGCTCAACACTCAATTGTTTCTCTCCACACAAAAGCTCTTTGTTACACTGTTCTCCTTCAAAACCCACAGTGCAGCTTTTTCTAATACTAGTTAGGAAACTGATCTTTTTTTGCCAAGTAGTCTGCTACTACTTTCAAGAACTGTCAAACACATTTCCATTAAGGGGAAATGTGCTGGAAATTTTATGTTCCAGGGCTGCTGACCTCTGGATTCTGATCTACAGAGACTTCTGTCTCAGGCGTGAGGGAGGAGCACACTCACCTTGGTGAAAGCTTTGATGGTGTGGGCCAGGACGGCTTCCTCCACGTCCTGGGGGAGGCTCTGCAGGCTTACTATGCAATGCAACACGCAAAGAATTGTCTGGTGCTGGCCCTGTTTTTGCAGAAATCAAAATCAAACAAGTTGGGTATAACCATAGGTGATTATGCTAAATGAAATAAGTCAGGAGGAGAAAGTCAAACAACTGACGATGGAATACAGAGAAACAAAACAGAAAAACTAAGTCAAAACAAACCCAGGATGTCCAACTATAGAATTGAGGCTATCAGGTAGACCATGGCAGACAGTAGACCATGGCAGAGGATGCAAAGGTTTAAAGTGGCTCTCCTGGGGTTATGGTTATGGTGGTGGATGTGGAGTGGGGGTGTGCATCTGAAGGGGTATGATCTAAGCTTCCAGATGGTGCAGTGTTGTACACCACTGTTACTTCAATAAAAAATAATAGAACCCCCTTCATCCACTCAAACTACACAACCAACTTAAAAACAAAACAAAACAAAAACGCAACCACAGAACTAGGCACTGCTTTGTGACTAAGTACTCACAATCTCAAATACCAAACTATCCAGCAAGGGCTCTATCAATGTTTACTATTGTATTAATATAATTTGAAGAGCTTTCAGGAGTTAAAAACTAAGTTGGTTAGTTATTACAAGTAAAAGTGAATCCAAAGGTAAGTGGATTATAAATGGAATGTTTTCCTTGCAGTGAAAGGAAGAGATGATTCACTCTCATTGTTTCCAGATACAACCATGTGCACACCCAGCAATCAGCACCCGCATGCCCTGCCCTGAAGAGAGGCAAGACAGTCAGCCAGCCCTTTAGGAGTACACCTGAACCCTGAAGGATATGGCCCTAACATGGCTTCTGGAGGCTGCTCACCTTAGAGAAGCCAAGGAGAAACTCTGCCATTTGAGTGATAGGCATCCAACACACCTTGCACCTGAGAGCCACTCACTCCACTCTTGAAATATGCTCTAAGTGCATAATCTAAAATACAGACGCAACTGCAGGGGTTTGTCGATTAGAGAGATGCCTAGAAAAGTAAAAGCCCAAAATAATGTAAAAGCCTACACACGAGGGCGGAGGGATTATAATGGAATGTTGGCCTGATGTGAGAGGAAATGCAGGAGCTTTGTGACAGAGCTAGCTGAGTCTGAAACCTGCTCTGACATGTGCTGTGTGTCCTGGAAAGCTGTTTGGTCTTCCCTTTCTGAAAGACAGGTCTCTCCCTCACAGGGCCACGGAACTGGACAAGGGTGAACACGGGCATGACCACCTAGCAAGGGCCTGGCCCACGGTCAGTCACCCAACTAAAGTGAACTGCCTTCCTTATCTCCTCCCATTTCAGCTCCCTAACTAAACTGCTGAGAACACACCCCAACAAGAGGAGATAAGGGGCTGGAGCCTCTGTGTCTTTAAAGATGAGCATCACACAATTCTGGGTGCGATTGTCTGTGCGCCTGTGTGTGGAGTGAAAGGAGATTTGGAGTCAGTGAGAAGTAGCACAGCAGGTAACTCAAGGCTGATTATGAGATAATAGTGTTTCCTAAAACAATAAAGTATTCTTAAATAAAAATTTAATATCTATAGTTAAAAATTTTGACTCGTACAAGGATTTCCAAAGAAAAGTTAGTTTCTTTCCTTTCTGGTCCATGTTTCCTAGTGCTGTTCACAAAGGCAGTCACCACCACTTGTTTTTTTTAATCTTCCTTCTATGCTCTTCTATATTTTATACATGTACAGATTATGTACATCAATGTCTATATATGACAGACAACACCTTCTGAGAAATGAGTGCATAGTTTTTCACATTATATGCTAACAGTAAATAAGTAGAAACAAATACTTAAAAGTGAAAAAATGGTTACGACATACCGTTAGAGTACTACTTACCATATTTATGAAAAACACTACACATGGAAAATGTAGCCTCTATGTGCCAATTATAAACTATGTTATAATTTTGAGCAAAAAATGAAGCACAAAGTAGCATATGAAGTGGTATTGAACTCAGTCATCATGTGCGTTGATAAGACTGAAAGGAAAGAGCTGCAAAGGTTTAAAGTGGCTCTCCTGGGATTATGGTTATATTTTCCCTTTTTATTTTTGTATCTTCTAAATGTTTGTACTGAGTGTGCATTTCTTCATCTACCTTGGAAAAATTCAAATGAGACCCGGATATGGGCCGATGTAGAAATTCCTGTTTTAGAAGGGATGTTTTTGGGGTGTGAGACTTACATGAGGGACTTATTAACCTGACCAACTAGTCTGACAGTTACTTTACCTTCTCTAATAAAAACAGCGCTTCTGCGGCATCTGCGCGTCTGTCAACCAACATGTCCACATCCTCTTTGGTTATGACGGGCTCCTTCAGCTGCTCCACCCAAGACCACATCAAACTGCACAGGATGAAAGGGTTCCTTTCGCCACATATTCTTTCCCAAGCTCCGTCTCGGGAATTTAGTTCTCTCTGAAAGGAAGGAAGGGAGGGAGAGAGAGAGAAAAAGGTCAGGGGAGGAAAGGAAGAGGGGAGCAGAGAGAAAAGGGGAGAGGGCAGGGGAGGGGCATGGGGAAGGGCCGGAGGACAGGGAGGAGCAGGCACTACTGGATGAGCAGGCTGTCTAGGAGAGTGAGTCTTAGGCTCTGGAAACCCTCTCAGCACCCCCACCTCCCGGTGGCCCACTGGGCTAAAATACTGAGCTTCTCAATGAATCTAGTCCTTGCAGAGTGGGGCTGACTGAAAAGAGGGCTCTGTATCTCCTGGTTAACCACGGACCAGAGTAACATTTCCAGCAGAGGGAGCCCTCCTTTTGGGGCTCTTGGAGAGCAAAACAGAAATACAGCAATGAAACAGAATGGTAGAGGAAAAAATGTAAATAAGAAATTTGCAAATTAACCTGGGATAAGGAAAAGCTTTTGCCTGAAACTTCAGCGTATGCCCCTCACCCCAGGTACTTAAAAGTCAGTAAATGTGGCATGTACATTTCTTTCAAATTCCTTTTTAGAATCCTACTCAGAATTTAACAAATAGTAAGTCCCACATCCTGCAACAACAGAGTGGAAATGATGAAGTAGTTCCGCCAATACTCGAAAATGCCTGGAGATAAGCAGGAGATTTAAAAACTTCACCTCAGGGATTGGCAGGAAAAAAAAAATAAATAAAAATAAAAAAATAAATAAAAACTTCACCTCACAGAGCAGGGGAAAGTGAGATTAGAATTTTAATTTCTGAATAGGGTTCAGATTTAAGTCTTAGAAAGTGACATGTGCTTGCAACAGTAGGAAGCATAATAATCACTGCCTTACATTCACCACAGACCCAATACTGACGGAGCCTCCACACTACAGACCAACTGTAACACATGACTTATCTCGGACTTCCAGCAACCCAGCAGGGAGGCTCCTGCACAGACACATGTACTCAGGCAAGATAGAATAAATAGTGTGGCCGTGACCCAAGGTGAGAATGGGGCAAAAGAGGCATCCTACTTAGCCCTGTTTGACCCTGGTCTCCAATGTTTCCTGCCAGCCACAGGGTTGTTTGGTGCTGGATTTCTCTTTATGATCACATAAACAAGCCAACACTTTTAGTTGCTTAGTCTTTCGTACCCCACAGATCATGTTTATAGCTGAAGAGCTTTCTATTCAACCTTATATAGCCAATGAGGAGACAAGTGGGAAGAAATGGCATGACTGAGACCCTCGTATAAAATAACCATTACATCTTATGTTTTCTGAAATCTTCCAGTGAGGTTAAGAAAGACATCAGGGATGATGGGAAACATTAAACACATGAGCTGTTTCAGGCCCTGCCACATTTAGCCTTTGTGACTGAGCAGGTCATTTAACCTCTGTGACCTAATTAAGGGTCCCCATTGTGACACCTAAGAATTGTGAGGATCAAACAAAGAATGTGCCTTTCAGTTTGGAGTAGAAAATAAACAGTTCATGTTGGAAGAAAGCAATACATTTAACTGTGTGAAGCGAAACATAATTCTGAAGGCTTTCTACCCAACAGGGAGCTGTAATTGGTACAAGGCTCCCACTTCCACCTCTAAGATACTTTTGTACCCCACTCCCCTTCCAAAAGTGTTCACATCTTGCTTAATTATGGTAGAATAAGAGGAGTAGCGGTGGAAATATTGGGTTGTAAGAAAAGTCATGATGTATTTTTCCTATGTTTTTCAAACGTCTTACTTTTCTGACAACCCAATAATTTCTGGTAATTATGGGTTAACAAAGATTTCACTGAACCAGTGCCCCCCACATCAGCCCCAGGTTTCTAAGGTCTATCTTTTCTGTAGACCAGCTTACCACCTAGGCAAAGAGTCCAGTTAATTTAAGACTCTCGTGGAAAGTACGACACAAAAAGGGGATAATTAAATTTTCACATCCTAATTTACATAAAAGCCAAGAAATGGGACTCCAAAGACCCAATCTCAGGTAAAGCACAGAACAAAGGTGCACTGTGGCTGTTCCCATTTGCTTTCTTGACCCCAACAGCTGCCTTATTCAGGGATGGGGAGGCACCGGAGGGGTGCTGAGCAGACTGCATCACCATGTACCCTCCTGACCTCACTCAACACTTATGTTGAGCTTTGGTAAAGAACTTTTTCTGATTTCATTTCTGTCTCGAGGTCAGTGATTTTCAGAGTGTGGTTCACCCCCAAGCTTTGATTTGGAGATACTTGAGGTCAGTTCCTAAAGCTGTATGATGTGGCCCATCCATCTGTCCATTAGCCGATGCCACAACCCTGAAAGAAAGTAGGAAGCTGCAAGTATCAATCAACACAAACACCTCTGGGCCCACAGCCTGCTGAGTGCTAAGCGCTTTCTTTCACAAAGAGATTGAAACAGACCAAGACAACAGTCGGGTCTATCATTTCTACAACAGCAGGCTTGTATCATAGTTGAGCAACCTGAAGTGTCAGAGTGAAGTATTACACAAAGGTCTTCAAATTCCTACAATAAGATGTACAATGTTTCTGCTCCAATACAAATATTTTCAACACACATAAAATCAAACGAAATAGAAATACCTGCCACATTTCCACCTTCCTTTTCACTTCCTCCTTTTCTGTAAACTCATTTAAATTTGCCAGGGCTTTGGCTGCTAGGATTCTCCTTGCTTCCACACTCAATTCAGACTGCAAGGCAGTGTGAGTAACAACTTCAGACAGATCTTTGCTGTCCTGGGTTTCAGGTGCGACCGAGAACTGTGCTTTGGGACTGGAGCTGCGGTCCACAGGGCTGTGGTGAGTCTCACTGTCGTCTGCAATGGAGCCTGGGCCCTCACCATGAGTCTCACGCTGAGAGGGGTGTACTTGCTGGTGAGAATGGTTTGGTTTCTTCTGGATATTTGCAAGGTTGGGTATAACTGGTTCCTCAGGATAGTATGAACCTGAAAGACCTGAAGAGAAGGTTCTACTCCGCTGGAATTCCTTTAGAATATTCTTCCTGTAGAAAATTGGTGATCCATCATCTTTGAGTCCTTCCAGGTCTCCAAATTTCCCCTGATTCCAGAAATAAAATGTATTGCGGACCAACACCTCCTTACTTAAATCTACCTGTGGAGACTGTAGGGTGTAGCAGGGGCTTAGGGGCTTCTGCTGCCCAGAGTTATGGCAAAGCAAGGGCTGGGTGGGTACCGTCCATGGAGTGCCCCCTTGTTCCAGAAGCCACTCAGCCCTCTTTAAGTCTGAGTCACTGTAGCTGAGTCGTCTTTTTAGGCAAGTCAGGGGTTGAAGGCACTCAACATTCCGCCTCTTCCAGAGGGGGTCAAACTCTTGCTCGCTGGAAAGAATCATATCCTGAGTCTCAAAATCTGTTGCCACCACAGAGGGGGTGCAAGCATCAGATGCGTCACTGTTATGCCTCAGCAGTTCCTTATCCAGCTGCCTCGTCACCATTTCAGAAACTGTCTTTTCAATTTCAGCAGAGAGGCCGGGAACTTCTGCCACTTCTTCCTTTACTGGGGGTCTGTTCTCAGCCAAGTCCAATAGCAATTTGCAAACAAGGTGGATAATTTTAGGCACATATTTCAGAAGTCGTGCCTCATAACCATGCAGTAGATGCCGCTGGCGAATGAGATATTGTGCTAAGGTGACAGCATGTGCTTTGGGATCACAACATGAGAAAATATTGCGAAGAGGAATCAGAAATTGAGTAAATTCCCTTATGCACAGAAGCTGTCCTCTAGTTTGTATGGAGTTGGGTCGCTTCGTCCGAACAAACACAATTGCTTGGTCAGCAGTCATTCTTGTTGCAAAAACTAAGTAACATGCTATTAAAACACCTAAAAAACAGTAAACAGTGAAGAAGATTGGGAAGAGAAAAGATTATATATTTTTATTTATTACACATCATGATTTACAATATGAATAAGTGCTAGGAAATCCTATCAATACAGGAAGGCTGTATTGACTGTTAGGTAATTCTGACTTGGTAACTTTTTGGGATGGGTGTCTATCCATTTACTTGTCTATATGGCAGCCCTTTCCTTCACTGAGAACTTTCAGCTGCCTCTGTACCTGGGTTTAGCACAGTAACTGTCATGGTGTAACTAAGTAAGTGTGGAGTGAGGGGGCTGCTGAGTAAGTTGGAGTGAAGAGGAAGATGGAGTGAAGTGGAGTGAGGAGTTACGATGACAATGGACAAGTGTGAAGTGAGGGGGATGATGAGTAGATGGACTGTATGGTGGGATAATGAATAACTGTAGAGCAAGTGTGTGGAGTAATTATGAAGGGATGAGTAACTTAAGTGAGGGGGATGAGTAAGCGTGAAGTTAGGGGGATGAGAAAGTGTGAAGTGAGGGGGATCTTGATCAGGTATGAAGTGAAGGGATGAGTAAGTGTGAAGTGAAGGGATAAGTGTGAAGTGAGGGGGGACAAGTAAGTGTGCAGTGAGGGGGAATGATGAGTAAATGAGGAGTAAGGGGGGATGTGCTTATAACTTACCACCTTGCCACCTTTGCTAATAACTATTGGCACACTCCTACTTGGCATTTTCTCTATTTGGACATTGCGGGGGGCTGTTGTGGGAGATTATTTACATTCACAATCCATTTTTCTTTTTCTTCTTCTAGACTTATATGTGAGTTTTCCCAGATCATAATACAACTGTTTCTTTAAGCCCTTAATATTTAGGAAATCAGCTTTATTAGTGAAAATATTATGTACTCTTAGTAAATAATATCAAATTAAAATGAATAACAAGTGAAAAGGTAACAATTTTAATATAAGTTAATATCAAACTACTAAAAGGCAAATCTAGTCATGTGTGTGATTCACCAAGTTTATTACATTGGAAATAAGAGATTCTGAGAACTGCATGTTCCCTAGTAGGTAGCAGGCATGGTCCAACTTATCTTTTTCACTAGGATGTGATAGGTCTTTGAGTAAGTATGAAATACATGTAGAGCTATCATGAGGAATCCCCAAGGAGAACAAGATTTGGCTCAAACTTCATGCTGAAGATATTGGGCAGAACTGAGTTCCTGCCTGAAGATCATGGAGAGGAAGTGGGAGGTCTTGTGGGAGACACACAGAACACTGTGAACAGAGTCAAGTGCAGGTGTGGCTTTGAGCTAGATACAACTGAGATTCCAACTCTACGGTCTTTATTTTTATCTCAATACCAACACTGTACTGAGCTCATGCTGTATTTTTAAGTAAAATAGTTGACTTTTATATATAACTCTAGGCATACAGACTCTTCTTCACAACCAAAACCTTCAGCGATGTGAATTTAAATTTTGGTCCTGTTACTTACTCAATGTAGCAAATTACTTAACTGTCTTCAAAATTTCCACTGTTGCTAAAGACTTAAAAAGATAGCAGGTGTAAGATGATTACAACATAGTAGGTTCTATGATGCTATTTTTGGTTAAGAAAAATAATGCTTTTGAAAGATATCATGCATTAAGGGCCTCCCTGGTGGCACAAGGGGTTAAGTCTCAGCACTATGAGGCTATCGCAGCCACAACAGCTCAAGTTCGATCCCCAGTCAGGATGCTAACCCACATAGCGCAGTAGACCTCTCCTGTCTCACCTATTGCTTCCCTCAGCAGTGTATTTCAGTAAACCTGCTTGTTCTGCTCTCCACTCTGTCGCTCGTGAATCCTCTCACCACCCCCCTCCACCTCTGGCCTACACCCCAGCTCTTGTATGCATAAATAAATAAATCTTTAAAAAAAAGACATCATGCATTAAAATAAGGTGCTGATTTTTTCCCTTAAAGGAGGAAATCAGAGTCATCATTTAGCTGGCTGTGGAAACCCATCTTTTTTTTTTTAAAGATTTATTTATTTATTTATTCATGCATACAAGAGCTGGGGTGTACGCCAGAGGTGGGGAATGGTGAGAGGATTCACCAGAGACAGAGGGGGAGCAGAACAGGAAGATCGACTGAAATACACTGCTGAGTGGAGAAGAGGGCAAGACAGAAGAGGTCTGATGAGCCATATGGGTTAGCTCCCTGGGCCAGGATTGAACTCGTGCTGCAGTGGCTGCCAATAGCTTCATAGTGCAGAGACTTAATCCCCTGTACTACCAGGGAGGTCCAACTCATCTGTTTACTAACTATGAGTTTTCAGTCCTGAGTCATTCAAAACTATTCTCACAAACAAGGTCATTGAGACTATCTGTTTACGATACACAAGTATCTTTTATTTACTTCTTCCATTTGATTCCAACATTGATAAGATTCTAAAAAATAATTTTCCTCTAGAATTAGTCTTATTCCTTAAATACTCAAATATGCTACAGGACTATAAAGCCACCTCCTAGAATTTACCTGTTCGACCGAGCCCTGCATGACAATGGATAGCTACTTTTCCTTCTTGTAAGGCAAATGTCATCACCTTCACCATATCTAAGATGGTGGTAAGGGACGCCACACCATAATCCTTCCATCCAAAATTGTAGAAATAAACTGGGTATTAAAAGAGAATAGGAAAAAAAAAATCAACATTCAGGAAAAATACTTGCAAAGACATATGAAGAAAGTGAATTAATAAAAAGTATAAGCTGTAAGGCACATTGCTCTCATAGGACGCACAGGCCTAAAATAACAGATCTTTTCCAATCCCAGTAAGTTTGTTACAAAGCATAGTCTATATTACTTAAGACATTTCCTGCTGAAATTCAGCCAGAAAGAATTATGGAAAAGCAGGATTTCAAATTAAAGTCCATGTTGTATGGCCAAATTCCTCAGCTGTAGAGGAAATAACAGAGACTTGTCTAAGCATGAAAGTGTGTCTAAATGGCTGATAAATGACACAAGACAAGAAAGTACATAAAGATTTTCTACCTAGTGGGATGGGTTGGGGGCGGGGAACAAGATACAAGCCATTACTTCTTTTGTTTTTTAAAGAATTGATTGTTATTTTAAGAAAAGTTCCTTTTGTGCACATACTAGAATGACCATTCTGCTTGGAAACAATTATAATAAAAGACAGGATGGTTATTTGTTTTAAGTTTTCTTTCTCAGGAGCAAGTGTCTTAAAAATAAGTTCTAAATGGCACAGGTTTATCCTTTCCGGCCTGGTGTCAATGAGGTGTGCTCAGTCGTTTCCATCCCATAGTTGCCGTGACCATGTGTGTCCCTGCATCCCTCTGAGGCAGAGCTGGGCAGCAAGTATAGCATGAGTGATACCTGTGCCCCAAAGTCTGTGGCCACTGTTGCGCTGTGTGATGGGGACAAGCCAGCACTCTCAATGCCCTGTGGCCTCTTGTGAGAAGCAGAAACTACTTGCATGACTCCACTAAGCACTGAACGAGACAACAGTCTGCTGTGCTGTTAATGTTAATTAATACAGACACTAATCAAATGTTATCAGTATTTCCACAAGGCTTCTGTCCAAGATTCCGCTTATATACTTTCAGCAGCAATATCTAAAGTCAAAGCTGGCTCATCGTCATTTTTAGGAACTCTACTACTGTGCAATGCTTATTTCTAGCCCCTTTGTTTAACCTAAGACCTGAGCAGACAAAACTGAGGAGTGCTGTATGTCATCACTCATGGAGGACTTACTGCCAGCCTCCATGAAAGCTTCAGGAAGGTAAGTGAAGCCACTTTCTTGTTCCAGTGGGTTCCCACAGCTGGCATGCTCACCGGGGCGCTGCAGGTTAATTACTGTTCTTATGCCAAGGCTTAAAGGAAAAAGAAAATTAGTCATATTAAGGGTTGGTGTTTAAAGGAATTAACGGTTTTTGGTATTAATAAACATTATTATTTACTCTCAAATCTTAATTTATTATTTGAAATAAACTCTTTACTGCCTATTGTCAAAATAAAAGCACTTTTCCAATTGAAGGCAAAGCAATGTCAGAGAAAACACAAGTTGGCTTTTAAGCATGCGAGAGTTGTGGCACTGACCTCTGGAACTGCTCGATGATGCAGTACTTCTCCAGGAGCTCCGTGGATGGGCGAGCCATGGCCAGGATGTTATCAGTGACCCTACAGATGGGAGGAGGAATGGGATGCACAAATCCTAGAACATTCCAACTCTAAAGACAGAGAGGAAGATATCAAGCTTCTATGTTTTCTATGATTTCAACAACTCTGTAAAAGAAGAATCTTCTTAAACAAATTGGCTTCAATTTCTCATCATGATTAGGGTTCAAAGAAATTCTAGATTCTTAGACCCCTGGAAAAAAATTCTAGAACATAAAGTATTTGTGAACCCTGGCAAAGAGTTTTTAAGGACTCCCCTGAGATTCTAGAGGACATGATGGAGCTGGCAGCAAAGGTCTAGATAGTTAAAGAGCATTTAAGTGAGGAGGGTTGCTGGGAGGCTTCTTAGTACTGAACTGTCGGCGGCTCAGTTATCTAAAGAGTTAAGTGGGGAGAGACGAATGCATGCATCATAGGGTCATGTTAGAATTCAACACAATGTGGACGTCAAATCCTTAGCATAAATCCTCCCATGTGGTTATGAATAAATGTCAAGATATTGTAATTTAGGAAAATATGGGCTTCAGAGTCAATGAGATCTGGTTTCAAATGCTAGTTTTTCTACTTTCTAGCTAGGCCATAAATGACTTAGCCTCTCAAAGTCTCAATTCCTTCATCAATAAAAGGAACATGAACAATGACTATTTCACAAGAGTTTTGTGAAGATGAGAGATAATTTGCAAGTGTCTAGCATAGTGCCTGGCCTGCAGCCAAACAGACATTTACTAAATGCACTCATGGAGAGAGGCCAATGAATGGTTATCATGCTCATTATCCTCTGAACTCTGCTTCTCTGGTGGAATTTCTCAGGTAGTCAGTTGGAAGTTGTGGGTCACAGGACCGGAGAGCAGTAACAGAGAAATTCAGAGAGAAGGGCACGATTCAGAAAGGACCACTTCCCTGGGGGCAATGCCTGAAATTTGACAGGTACCCCTGAATTTAAGTATGTAGGATAAGGAGAGATGCAACGTGAAAAAGACTCAGATAGTTTAGTCAACAATAAATCAAAAATATTAATGTGACCCTAAGCTGCACCATTAGAAATCTACTAGCCTAACAACAGCTGAGGTACAATGTTTGCTTTTTCATAAATGTCTAAATGAAAAATAGTGACAGCCTAGAATATGATCTTGGAGAACAACAGTGACAGTAGCCCCAGGCTTCAACACAACACTAGTACCTAGCAAATCCCATATAAAGCACTGGCTGCAAGTTAAGTAAGCTGGCCGACAAGCATCGAATTTATAAATGTGCTCTTGCTGGGCCTCCCTGGTGGTGCAGTGGGTTGAGCGCAGCGGCTGTGAAGCTGTCCGCAGCTTCTGCAGCACGGGTTTGATTCCTGGCCGGCCAGGGAGATATCCATATGGAGCAGACCTCTCCTGTCTCGCCCGCTGCTCCCCTCAGCAGTGTCTTCGGTCTGTTTGCCTGTTCGCCTGTTCGGCTTCCTGCTCTTTCTCTGGTGAATCCTCCCACCCTTCTGTACCCCAGTTCTTATATAAATAAAAATAAATCTTTAAAAAAATAAAAAATAAAAATAAATGCACTCTTGCTGTATAAAATGATTTACAATTAAAGTTCACTCCTAGAGTTCCCCGAACAGTGAATCCCTCTAAGAATGTTTCAAATATGACTTCAATATCAAAACTTTTCAGTTATCACTACATCAAAAGGTATCCTTGGCATTTTATTATTAATAAAAAGCAGTGTGATCAAGAAAAAATGAATTATACTTACAGACCATAAGCAACATAAACACCATATATTGTCTGCTGAACCAACAACTTGAACCACTTCTACTACAGCAGATTTAAAGTATATTGTGTGAAAATTTATGTTCTTTCATATAGAATACAGTAAAAAAATTAAAATGAGACTAAAGCTAACCTGCATGAAATTTAACAACTCAAATTTGTAGCCGAACACTTGTATTATCTCTAGCTTTCATTATTTCTGAAATTTATCTAGTTCCCATTTCTTTGAAATACTTTACATACATCATTTCACCTAATTGAAAAAAGAATCCCTCGGAGGTTGGTTTATTATTTCACATTGGACAGATGAAAAAACTGAGGCACAGAGAGCCTGTATGAGTAGATCAAGATCACACAGCTTGTCAAGCTGCAGGGCCAGGGATGAAGGTGGGTCCTCTCACTTCAAGCCCTTAATCCTCTGTCTACAGCCTCCCTGCCTCCCAGGAGCACAGGACTTCATTCCCTGTTCCCACTCACCAGCAGTGACAGCTCCAGACACTGGCAGAATCACTTACCAGGAGGAGTAGACCCCCTTGATGGCTTGCTCCTGCTCACTCCAGCGAGCTGGATTTTCATACTTGCAGGCTCTGCCGCCACATGCCATGGAGCAGGCCATGTGTCCAGGGATGACATGCCGTAAACGCTCTCCTACTTTTGTGTACTTTGGTGCTGGACGCTCTGAATTTCCTAGAACACACAAAGAAGGGCAGATTCAAAACTCCACTCTCCAAATGGAATAGTAATATGGGAAACAGCTTCCATTATGTCAGGATTGCAGATGACAAGCCAGTGTTAAATCCCCTTCCTTTTGTCAGGAATAAAACCGTTTCTTTTTCATTTAAATACACAAACTTCATACAGAAAAAACTTTTACATACTATAATCTCCACATCTACTAGTAATGAAAAGAGAGGAAATGTAAAAGCAGGTCCTTAACAATCGAATGAATTTTGTTCAAAAACGACATTTTCAAGGAAAACCCAGAAAACCATCCTTTAACCCCCTCTTTTACAGATCCACCGAAACTTAGCATAACAGGCAGCAAAATGTACAGTGTAAAATGAATTGTCCAAATTTAAAAACACACACTGACAAAATTCTTTAAATTTAAACTAAAAAGTATGGCAATCTTTAAGAAGAAAAAGAAATTTACTTTTTCTCTCAGGGCAAGTTGGGTTTCTCTCGGCGCAGCGGACGGCAGACACAGCCACCATCACCTGGAGGGAGGAGGAGGACAGCATCTGGGCGGCCGAGCTCCGCCGGCCCTGCTGCAGCCTCAGCACCGGGTCCGAGGTGGAGTGCCTGCGGCCCTGGAAGAAAGCGCTGAGGAAGGGCATGGCCGAGAGCCGCCGAGGCGGGTCCTGCATGGCACTGGATCCCAGAAGGAGAGCTGGAGGCAGGAGATGCCAGCGCCAGCTCCCTCCACGATGAAGTTACATGGAATCTGAGCATCATCTGCTGATCTAACAGCATTCAGGATAGGCTCAGTTGTTTCCATAGCGACAAACAAAGAAACTACTGATTCCCACTCAGATTTGTGCAGGCAAAAATCTTATGTGAATGAACACTGTTTTGGACAGACTGTTCAAATATGGGGAAAATAACATGTATTTTAAATAGATTATTGCAACTATTCTATTCTGCTTCTCAAAGACATTTAAAAGATCTGACTGCTCTAAGAATTCCATCTAAAACGCTGTAAGCAATTTAGAAAAGTGGCTTTCTGATACAAACACTGCTTTTAACACTCACATTAAAAGGTTTAACTTCTGTTTTTCCTTTCATGTCTATTTTCTGAGTATTTTGAAAACAAAAACGTCTACTTTCTACTCTTCTCTGTAACAGGATTTTAAAAAGCTAACTGTAACAAAGGGAAATATATGCTGGACACCTTTAAAACATTCAATGTTTCAAAACTAAAAATCCTTTTTTTTTCTTAATGGAAATATTAATGAAATATTTGAACAGAATAAAGACATCTGTAAGGCTGATGTATTAATCAGAAGACATTTCCTTTCATATTTTTATATTTAGAATGTGAAAGTCCAATTCTCAGTTATGCTTTTTTGGGACAGTTATAGTAGCCATGCCTCTCAAAAACTCAAACACACAATTCTGTGCCTTTTATTGCTGACTCTGGGAGAAAAAGAAGCTTCAATAATGTCCTGGCAGAGGTTTAAGTAGAAAATTCCCCAAGTATCACATTTTTTTAAGGAACTGGATGAGGGGGAGGTTGTAACTTGAGAATAAAGGATATACAGAAAATAGAAACTCTAACAACCATCGATTGTCCGCCTCCTTAATGTCAGGCTGTACCCCCCACCCCCGTCTCTCTCCCGCCCTCTTCTCTCCAAATGATATTTCAATCCTGTGCAGACAAAAACAACCTACTGCCATAGATTGGGTTCATTTTTGCTTTGTTCTAACAATTAAAAATGCTTTTAAGCAAGTTCCTTTTAAAACGTATACCCCCCTATCACCCTAATCAGATGCACTTGTGCCCAAATGCCTACTCTGAGTGTAGTACCATGCATTGTCTTGAAACTACAGTGATGGAAAATAAGTATTGTTTATTGTAACTAATCCAGAAGCTATAGCTTCCACAGAGCTTTTTAGAAGAAGAAAAAGAAAATGGGGCACAGCAGGCCAGTTGGAACCTGATGGTAGAAGCCAGAAGTACTTAGACTATAGGGTACAAGTTGGCTCTTTTGGGAGCAGGGAAGTTTCTGAACTGAGGTTTCTGAGAAAATGTCAGAAAGGGTTAACACCACCTGCAGAGATGGGCTGGAAGTCTGGGGCCAGGAGTCTTCTGGAACACTGGGACTGAATGGTGCTAAGCATAGGTACAAGACAGAGAGGGGCCGCCAGGTGGGTGTTGCTGTTATCAGATTGGGACCTTGAGCCAGTGTGAGCAGAAAGTATGAGGAGAAGACACCATAAAACCCAGAAGGCCAGCTCCATTTGAATTGCAAGTCTCAAAAGCAAGTGGGAGATGCCTGCTATCTGCAACTCTAAGGATATTCACATGAGTGACTTCAAGTGACTGAATCTCAATGGTTCTGAAAGTGAAAAACAAATGTGATAAGGGCAGGACATTGAGCAAAGGAAGAAATGGCTTATATATCACCTCAAGGAAAATGTCTGCTGTGAAATCTTAACCTTGGACGAACATAAACAGGTAACAACTGAGTTGACCAAGTTATTTGAGTGCCAGAGACCCTGAATAGGGATCTTTAGAGGGGTGATTTCGAAAGGCGATCACAGCCTCCTCCTGGGCATGCTCTGGCCCAAGGTGCTGATGGGCCCTGGTAGGTCTGGTGCTTAAGAACACTGACCTCTTGTGGGAATAGCAAACAGAAGAGGTTTCCATCTCCCCTGCACTCATCAGAACCATCACTTCTACCACCTTGTGCTCCAAAATATTCCTTGGCAAAATGACAAATTCACAGCCAAGTACATTCTTTAAAATAAGCTTTTGTTTATGTCAAAGAGCTTTACTACAGGGAAGCATACCTTCAGCGAATGCTCCAGGATGGCCTCCCTTCCTGACTTTGGCCATATACACATGTATTTTTTGCATATTAATAATCATGTTGCAAATACATAGTTCCTGCTTTTTCTAAACAGTGTAGCAATATTTTCCCATTTTGCTTTAGTCACTCATAATTTTCATTTAATGGATGCATAATGATTATGACACATCAAGTTATGCATCATACTTTATCTAATTTTTCCTTAGTTGTTGGAATATTTAGGCTATTATCAATGATTTAACAGGTGAACAAAATAAGTTTTCAATGTTCATATCTTTTGTTAGTTATTTGAATGAAGAAGATGAAAGAGAATATTTTTGGTAACACAATAATCTTTTTTGACGTCAGAGAAAAATACAGCATTACATAAGGATAAAATAAGGATAAAAACATGCCATTTCTGATAGGTTTTGTGTCAATCTCCTTTATCTCAGAAATCGTGTATCTTTTTTTTTTTAATGATTTATTTATGTATAGAAAAGAACTGGAATGGAGGCCAGAGGTGAGGGTCTGTGTGTCTGTGTGTGTGTGTGTGTGTGTGTGTGTGTGTGTAAGAGAGAGAGAGAGAGAGAGAGAGAGGATTCACCAGAGTCAGAGAGGGGACCATTAAAACAGGTTTGAAATCTGTTCAGCAGGTCACGAGTACAGATGATCACATATAAGCCACATTATGACCTTCAAACATAAATCAACCTAATTAACTCATAAAACAAGAAATGAAAACTGAACAAAACATAAAAGTATCAAAAAATAAAAAGACAAACTAAAGATATAATACAACAAATTAAAATACAAAGGGGCACAAGAGATCACTATGAACGATTAACTATATGCTAACAAATCCATAATCTTTAAGAAATGGATACATTTTTAGAATACCTTTTATCAAGACTGAACCAGGAAGAAACAGAAAATTGAACAGATTGATCACAATTATGGAAAACAAAATAGTTAAAAAAAAAAACCCTCCCCCAAAATAAAAGAGCAGGACCAGATGGCTTTACAAGTCAATTTTATCAAAACTTTAAAGAACTGATGTTCACTTTACTCAAATTATTCCAAAAAATTCCAAGAGGAGGAAATACTTTCTAACATGTTCTATAGTGCTCACCACTGCTTTAATACCAAAACCAGACGACAACACACACACACACACACACACACAACTATGGAGCAAAACCTCTGAGAAATACTAATGAGAAAATTCTCAACAAAATTCCAGTAAATCAAATTCAACAACACATTACAAAGATCATACCAAAAGGGATTTATTCCAGGGATGCAAGGATGGTTTAACATATGCAAATCAATTAATGTAATACCCTTCATCAAATACAGGATAAAAACCATATAATAATATCAATAGATGAAGAGAAAACATTTTATAATATATAGAGCACCAATTACATTAAAAACTCTGAACAAGATGGGAATAGAATAGAATTTACCTCAAAATCAAACAGACCACACATCACAAACCTACAGTCAATATTATACTTGATGGTAGAAAAACAAAAGCAACAGTAATTAAAAACATTATGGTAGTGAAATAAAAATAGACAACACAGGTCAAAGGAACAGAATCAAAAGCCCAGAAATGAATCCACACATATATCAACCCTAATTTATGACAAAGAATTTACAATCATATAATGGAAAAAGGAGTGTCTCTCTAACAAATGGTGCTGGGAAAACTGGATGGTTACATATTTAAAAAAATCAAGTTAATTTACTCTCTAACTCCATACACAAAAATAAATTTGAAATGGATTAAAAACTTAGGGACAGAAGACCCACAACAATAAAATACATAAAAGAAAGCACTGCTGATATGTTCCATGATGCTAATGATAGAGATGTCTTTGGAAATAAGGACTAACTCAAATTAAAAAACTTTACACAGCAAAGGAAAATAATAGATTAGAAAGTCATACTAATAAATGGGAGAAGATTCACAAACTACATAACCAACAATGGAATAATATCCAAGGTATATGAAAAACTCATGATATTAAACAACAACAACAAAACCCAAATAACCTAATTAAAAAATGGGCAGTAGATCTGAAAAGACAACTACAAAAGAAGATACACAGATGGCCAACAAATATATGGAAAAATGCTCATCATTTTTAATAAGGGAGATACATGTCAAAATCATAATGAGATAGAAATCTCTCACCTGTGAGACTGGCATACATTAACAAGACCTATGATGCTGGAGAAGAAATGGAGAAAGAGGAATATATCAACACACTGTTGGTGGGAATGTAAACTGGTGTGGCCTTTTTGGAAGGTGGTTTAGACCTGCCTTAAAAAACTAAAAATGGGCATACTATATGACCCAATTATCACAGTTTTGGGTATCTATTTGAAGAATATGAAACCATCAACATAAAAATGTTCCACAATGTTTACTGAGGCATTATTTACAATAGCTAGGTTATGGAAGCAAGCTAAGTGCCCACTGATAAAGGATTGGGCAAAAAAGATGGACTATATACATACAATGGAATACTATTCGGCTAGAAGGAAAAGATGAAATGCTATCAGGAAGTCAGAAAGATAAAGACAAATATTTGGAAGATTTCACATATGTCAGTAATATAAGGAAACAAAGTGATGAACTGATAAAGCAAAATAATTATAAACTACCAGATGTTGATAACTGAACTGAAATTTCTGATATTAAGAGGGAGTGGGGATGGAGAAAGTCAAGGTGTTACAAGGAATGGTGGAGGGGATTGATAAGATAACTGAATAGGTATACCTAAAAGAACACATAAAAAGACTTGTAAAAGAGAAAAAATAGACAAAAAAAAAAATACTAAGAGCTATATTATTGACAGTTCTATGGGCCAGCAACTAAAATCATGGCTCATAGATTGTTTGGGCACAGCCATGAATAGCAAAATGTATTTTCCTTAGCATTGTTTAAGAAAAGAAATAACCGGGCCTCCCCTGGTGGCACAGCGGTTGAGAGCTGGGCTACGAAGCTGCCCGCAGCGTCTGCAGCGCCGGTTCCATCCCTGGCTGCCAGCGAGGGTCCCACATGGCGCACAGACTTCTCCTGCCGCCCGCTGCTCCCCTCAGCAGTGTGTTTCGTCACTCTGCCTGTTCTGTTCCCAGCTCTGGCTCTGGTGAATTCTCTCACCCTCCCGCGCTTCTGACTGTACCCAGTGCTTGTATAAATAAATAAATCTTTAAAAAGAAAAAAAGAAGAAAAGAAATAACCAAGATGAAAATGCCTACATTAAAAAAATAATAAAAAATTTAAAAATAAAAATAAAATTAAAAAATAAATAAAATTATTAGCAGAAAAAAGAAGAGAAATACCATTTGAACAATTATTTAAATTACCCAACAGGAAAAAACCAGAAGTTTTATCTTTAGATTAACAGCAACATCAAGACTACTTTAATTTCTATTTCATGTTTTATATAACATGACATTTTTAAAGAGTTACAGTAATTTTATGAAGACATTAAAAAGGTAAAGAGGATTTTAAAAGGTAAAGGAGACTTACCTTTTTACCTTTACCTGGTGGCTATAGAGATTCTTTAGAATCTTGTTATCACAAGCTGCATCACTTCTCTGCTCTTCCTCAAGTTATAACTGATTTATAAGTCACAAGAACTAGTTTTCCCACTTACTTGCTAACAACTGATCTATTTTTTTTCTCCTCTGACAATATATTTTTCTGAATACATAAAATTTTTATTTTCTACATATAGTCCATGAATATAAACTTATAGAGATTCATGCCTCAGTTACAGTTCTTTATTCTCTGGCTCACTTCCAAATATACTGTTTTTAATTCTCATGACCAATCCTTTATACTCCCCACCCCCATCCTCTAATGCATCAGCAAAGGACAAAAGGCTCCTCTCAAAGTATGAAGAATATGGGCACTACACTGCAGGGATACATGCCACAATACCTTTGGAAAATGGCCTGTTTGCAGGTGGGAACTCAGATTTAACATAAATTGGAGTATCTCAGGAATCAAATGAGATATTGACAATGGAAATTATCTGCATTTGTGATAAGTACAGTAAACAACAAAGAAACCCATATGAGCACTCAGTCTTCACCTTTAATTTCTACAAGTGGGTGGTTAAAACACTAAAGAGCAGAAGCAGATCTAGAACACCAAGAACTAGTAATTTCTTTCTATTCTCAAGATTTTAAAACACTTTCTATTTAATCAAACTTATGCAACAGTAGTCCTGAGAATGTGATAAGAGATGGAGGTCTATATACTCTCATTTCCTGAGTCAATAAAAAATTGGGCTGGAATTCCTGTGTTTTACTTTCTGTGACAGAAGTTTCTCTTCTCACAAAGCAAATAACTATTCAACTGCTTGCGTTGTTTTCTAATGCTGAATGAAAACCCATTTATCTGTAAACACCAGTTATTGTTATTCCCTCTGAAGGTTAAAAAAAAAGAACATCTCTTTGACTTGCAAGATTTTCAAATATTTGAAGACAGAATTTCTCCTCTAAGATAAAGAATAAAGGCAGAACACCTACTCTCACAACTTTTTTTCAACATATTACTGGAAGCACAAACCAAAGCAATTAGGCAAGAAAAAAGATATGAAAGCACCCAAATTGGAAAGGAGAAATAAAAATGTCATTATTTGCAGATGACATTTTATAGATAGAGAACCCTGAAAAATTACCACAAAAAACTGTTGGAACTAGTAAATGAATTCTGCATAAAGTTGTAGGATAAAAATCAAAATATGGCCTGCCCTGGTGGCGCAGGCAGTTGAGCACAGCACTGTGAAGCTGACTACAGCCTCTGCAGCGCCGGTTCGATCCCGGCCAGCCGGTGAGGGTCCCACAGACCTCTCCTGTCATGCCGCTGCTCCCCTCAGCAGTGTATTTCATCGTCTGCCTGTTCTGTTCCTGTTCTGTCTCTGGTGAATCCTCTCACCCTTCTGCACATCTGGCCTGTACTCTGGTTCTTGTATAAATAAATAAATCTTTAAAAAAATAAAAAATACAAATAAAAAAACCTATTGTGTTTCTACACACTAGTAATTAGCTATCAGAAAGAGAAATTAAGAAAACAACCCTACTTATAATTGCATCAAAAGGAATAAAATTCCTAAGAATAAATCTAAGCATGTGTTCACTGAAGACTATAAGACATAGATGAAACAAATTAAGGAGACAAACAAATGTAAAACTATTCTGTGCCCACGTATTGGAAGAATCAATATTGTTAAAATGTCCATGTTACTCAATTAAATCTACAGAGTAAATGCAATCCCTATCAAATTTGAATGGCATTTTCAAGAAGCAGGAAAAAATCCTCAGAACCTCCAAATAGTCAAAGCAATCTTTACAGGTATCACATTTCCTGATTTCAAACTGTATCACAAAACCACAGTAATCAAAACAGTATAGTATTGGCATAAAAAAACAGACACATAAATCAATGGACAGAACAGAGTCCAGAAATAAATGTGCGCATATCTGGTTAATTAATTTCCACAAAGGAGCCAAAAACATACAATGGGGAGGTGAAAATCTCTTTGATAAATAATGTTGGGGAAAACAGAGAGCTACATGCAAAAGAATGAAACTGGACTGGTATCATACAAAATTAACAAAAACTGAAACAAAATGCATTAAAGACTCGAATGTAGCCTGGATCCACAAAACTGTGAGAAGAAATGTACAAAGTAAACTCCCTGATGATGGGTCTTCACAATGATTTTCAGATTTGACATTAAAAGGAAAGACATTAAAAATAAGAACAAACATGTGGGAGTACATCAAACTGAAAAGGTGCTGCAAAGAAAAAGGGAATTATCAACAAAATGAAAAGGCAACCTACTACATGGGATAAAGTATTTGCAAATAATATATGTGATAAGGGATTGATACTCAAAACATAACCAACTCAAAGCAACCAAATAGCAGGCCTCCCGGGTGGTACAAGGGGTTAAGACACAACCTATGAAGCTATCAGCAGCCACTGCGACACGAGTTCGATCCCCAGCCAGGGAGCAACCCACATGGTGCAGCAGACCTCTCCTGACTCGCTCGCTGCTCCCCTCAGCAGTGTATTTTAATCAATCTGCCTGTTCTGTTCCCCGCTCTGTCTCTGGTGAATCCTCTCACCCTCTACACTTCTGGCCTGTACCCCAGTTCTTGTATGCATAAATAAATAAATCTTTAAAAAAAAAACTGAGTATCAAAAACATTCCACTATCGACATACATACACATATACCACACATTTATATCCATATTTATTTCAACCACTATGTGACGATGACATTTTGGTCAATGAGAGATGATATATACAGTAGTGGTCCCAACAGGCTGTACCATAGAGCTTTAATGTGCAGTAGGACAGAACATCTACATTTGTGAAGTTACATTCTATGATGTTTGCACAACAATGAAATTACCTAATAATGCACATCTCAGAACATAGTTCTATTGTTAAGAAATGCATAAATACATGTGTATGAATATGTGTGTGTGTGTTATATATGTTTGTATATAAACTGAAAACTAACAGCTCACCCTGATATTACCAATTTCAATCCAACACTACAGGGTCCCTTCTAACATGCCCCCTTTCCTTCTCTGATGGTGAGAATCTTGACTACCATTTACATTGATGTGCAGCCATTACCACCCACAAATCTCTGGAACTTGTTCACCTTCCCACACTTTTTCAGTGTTTAACAAAACAACTCTGCCAATGTATCTGAAGTACTGAACTCTTATTTAGGGGAGATTTTATTTATTTTGATTCTAACAGTTCAACAAGTTGGCAACTAAAAATCTTTCTTTCGTTCTCCAGAAGGTGGCATTATAAACAAGTTTTTGGTTCTCTTACCAAGACCTGACTTACAGGTTAAGGTTAGGAAACCATGCATGAAAAAGCTGGAGTTTTATTTTTTTGTTTTTTTAAGTAATGGCAGGCTAGGAGAAGGAGAAGGTGTGGGCTTAGTACTTGGGACTCTGTGTGTGCCCACAGTCCTGGTAGAAAGGATCCTTGAGTGGGGGAGTCCCAGAGATCTGTGAGCAGACCTCTTAGTGAAGTCCCAGGACAAACAGCCCAAAATGTGTTCCTTCAGTTCCCTTTGTCTGACTTCTTCCTTTTTCTTTCCCTCACCCCCATTCCAGAGGTTTCTCCTTAGAAAGAATAATGGTCCAGTCAGCTCTAGCATGTGTGACTGGGCAGACTTTGACTCACCACATTCATTTTCCATCTCCACTGTCAAGAGAGGTTACCACTGTAATTCACTTGAGATGTGAAATGTGTACCTCTCTTGAGATCCAGCCAGTCAGTCCACTCTAGATATGCTGATGGATGGAGATGTGCAGAGGCAATTTTTTTTAGTCAAGGGTGTCCAAATTGTAAATTGGTGTAAAATGAAAAGGAGAGAAAAAAGTAATGTCTCACCATCATGATGCTGACTGATACCATTGTTCAGTACCACACTGTTTTGATTACTATAGCTCTGGAGTAAACTTTAAAATTTGGAAGCAAGTCTTCCTACTTGCTTGGTGGTATTAGTTGGTTGGACAGACAGTTGATTCCCTATCTCCTCCATCAGGTGCAAGTGGCCAGTGCTGCAATTCACCTGCCAGGATAGTGTCATCAGGGCCCAGTATGAGCCCTGGTCACCATCCAGCAGCAACAAGTCTTATCAAAGTGATTTGAAGCCTGACTAGTCACCATCCTCTCCCATGTCATCAGTACTTAATGGGGACCTGAATTCCACTCCCATTCAACACCAAGGAGATTGAACAAAGCAATGTAAGTTGATTAGTACGCATGGCATTTCCCCCAAACTTGGGTCTTAGTGAGACCCAGTGGAGAGATAAACATCCACAGTCAATTGGCAGTAATAAGACTGAACAAACACAGGGTAGTCAGGACAACTGTTAGCCCCATGCTGACTCCAGGGTCAGTGGGAGGTTGGCCCCCAACTGCACATGTGCCCATGAAGAAGAAAGTGGTGAGGGTGGGAGAGTTGGCACTGTGCTTCCTGCCTCCCCTTCCCCTCATGTCCACAGGGCACTATAGAAAAATGGGCTTCAGCCACACCCTATAGCAATAAAGGGGGATGGGTAACAGTTTACAGCCTTCCTGGATGGCAGTGGGGTCCAGTGAAGAGCTGATCATCTTTTTTTTCCCCCAGGGAGCTGGGCCCACTCAAGCAGTGACAATGTCCCACTTTTGACATTAAAATGTCAACAGAGTTGAAGGGGGAATCGAAATTCCACTTCATTCATATGCAAGGAGGCAGCATACCCTAAAAAATGGCAGCAAAGTTTTGCAATATTTTTCCTTGCCTTTGCCTAGGTCCTCCCCAGTTTGGGTGCGGTCTTGAAAATGGCAGCTTGAATTCCAGTGTGGTACCCTGGGCACTTGTTCCAAGAAGAACAGAATAGACCTTATTCAGAAATTATCATGATTGTTTGTTCTAAACTGTCTGGGGAATACCTGAAGGGCAGTGAGCAAGGTGCTCACTCTGGCAGAAAAGTGGTGGATGTTACTTCAAAATACTACAAGGTGAACAAAGTCTCTTGGGGCAAAAGTTACTGCTGACACAGAGAACAGATTGATCAGAGTTTGGGAGGAAAAACTGGTAGTTTCCTTAGGAAATTAGGACAAACATACCCGTGTATACTGGGGGATTTAGAAAGCCACTCATATGCCCACAATGGGATAAATGCTTAGAAAAGACCAGGAAAGGTTCTAAAGTGTTCATCACTGACTGATCTCCAGGAAGTGAAGGTAACAGCAGAGCCTGAATAGTCTAGTGAAGTGTTCAAGGAGTGTCCCGGTCTAGCCCCAACCCACAGACACTGAGAGCTATTTGTTTAGCTCCAACTATTCAAGAATATCTCTGTTAATACACTAATTGAACACAGGTTAAAGGAAAGGAGACTTCAGTGACCACACATGATAGGTAAGATGGGAGAATATGATCTCCAGAGTTATCACATTTATAATATTCAAATGGCAGTTTTCAACAAAAACCACAAAGCATAAAAGAAACAGAAAAGTACAGTCCAAACAAAAGTACAAACTGATAGGAACTGTCACCGAGGAAGCTCAGATATTGGACTTAATAGACAAAAACTTCAAATCAAATTTCTGAGAGCCTTGCTGGTGGCCTAGGGGTTAATTAAGTCTCAGAGCTATCACCACTGTGGCCTCTGAGTTCGATCCCTGGCCAAGGAGTTGACCCACAAATGGTGCGGCAGACCTCTCCTGTCTCATCTGCTGCTCCCCTCAGCAGTGTATTTCAGTAGATCTACCTATTCTGCTCCCCATTCTGTCTCTGGTGAATCCTCTCACTCCCTGTACCTCTGGTCTACACCCCAGTTCTTCTATGCAAAAAAAAAAAAAAAAAAAAAAAATCAAATATTTGAAACATGTTTAAAAGAGCTAAATGAATCCATAACAGAGCTTTAGGGAAATGGTATATGAACAAAAGGAGAAGGTCAATAATGTCAATAAAGAAGTAGATATTTTGCAAAGGAAGCAATTAGAAATTCTGGAGCTAAAAAGTATAATAACTGAATTGAAAAATTCAATGAAGGGGCTCAACAGTAGACATGATCAGGCCGAAGAATCAGTAAACTTGAAGAGAGGACAACTGAAATTAATGCTCACATTAGGAAAACAGGCAAAGGTCTCAATCAATAACCTAAGTTCCAACCTAAGTAAACTAGAAAAATAAGAGCAAAATAAATACACAGTAAGCAGAGGCAGGATAAAAACAGCAGAAATCAATACAATTAAAAATAAGAAAATAACAGTGAAAATCAATTCAACAAAAAGCTGGCTCTATAAAAAATTAATAAAATTGATAAACTTTCAGCTAGACTTGACAAAAATTACAAGAAAGATGATATAAATCACCAATATCAGAAATGAAACAGGGCTATCACTACAGCTGACATCTACTTAGGGAATAATATAGAAATACGACTAACAGATTTACACTCATAAATTTGGTAACTTAGAAAAATGAAACAAATTCTCAAACACCATTAACTCCAAAGAGTCAACTTTAATAAGACAAGCTGGCTAGTCCTAATAAAATTAAAGAATTTGAATTGCTAAGTAAAAAGTCTCCAACAAAAGAAACCTGCAGGCTTAGATGGTCTCACTGGAAAATGCTACCAAACACTTAAAGAATAATAAGCCCTGTTTTACACAATGCATTCCAGAAAATAGAATAGAAGGGAACATTTTAAACTCCACTTGCCTTTTTGGGACCAATGAACAGAATCACAGTAACAAGAAAGAAAACCAGCAGGCATCAGAGATTTCACAGTAATCTTTGGTAACAGTAAACCCTTCAATAAATTTAGCACTTTAGAAAAATAATTTTTTATTTAGCTGAACTATAAATTACACTATATAAACATCCCTTCTACTAGCGTTAAAATGTCAGGCAAAAGTAATGGAAGAATATTTCTGTCCTTTTAAATCCTTTCTTCCCCCGCGCCATACAGAAACCTTTTTTTAAATTTCCAATTATCATATACATTCTTTGATCAATAAAGCTGATACTGTTACCGAGATAATGTAGGCTACAGCAATCACTACCACAGTTTTTAATTTCCTAACACACACACACACACACACACACACGTATGTTTTTTATGTTGAGGATTAACATAGTTATGCACATGTTATTTTTCTATGAAAACACATCATTGTTTCATTTAAGAAGGTGTATTTTAATTTAAAAATGGAGAAAGAACAGTTATCCTAATGCTGACAAGAAATACTACCTTGGTTTTTTCCTGTAAATTTGCCATTGCTTGTTGGTAATTTTATTTTGGAAGTACACCAGTTGGCAGAGCAGTGTTTAAGAAGCACTAGGGGAGAGGCACTAATGCCTTTTATTGATGTTCAAATCACTATAAGGGAACAATTAAAATTGAGAGAAGCCAATATTTTCATAGATCATCAGTGGTCTTCCAGTGACAACTCTTAGTTGCATCATCCTTGACCTATCAGCAGTGTTTGATACATGAATCTTTTTCATTCTTAGTCGTGTCTTCACTTGCTGCCAAAAATACCATATTGTTACCTTCTCTAGGTTTGTTTTTATTCATTGGACTCAACTTTCTTTACTGATTCCTCCTTTCTTCCACCAATGTCTTAATTTTGGAGTGAGGATCTCTGTCTCTGTCTCTGTTTCTCTCTCTACACACTCACCTGTTGATTGATTTCATCAGTTGCATGGCTATAAATACCATCTACATGCTGACAATCCCTACATTTGTATCTCCATTCCAGGCTTCTCTTCTGAACTGTAATCTTGAATTTTCTACAGTCTCCCTGACCTCTGTGCTGGGAAATCGAATCTCAATCTTAATGGGCCCATGGGTGAACTTCTGTTCTCTGTTGCACATCAGCGACCTCTGATTTCAACTTCAGCTGTGATGGATGGTTTTATATGAGCTCAAACTCACTTTGCATTGATAGCGGCCCATCTTGAGCAGGTGCCATGTCTTTTTTCATTCGCCTTTGAGCCTTTTTCAATGTAACAAGACTTGTTTTTACTCTGTGCTCTGGAGTATCCCAGGAGTGAATGATAAAAGAAACAGCCTTCAGCTAGCAGGGACTGGGAGGTGATGGATATGAATGCTCCCACATTTCAAATAGAAAGTCCTGGGAGGTACTCTGTATGCTTCTGAGAAATCCCAGAGGATCAAAAGCCACTGCTTGTTCACTGTGCAGTCCCCTCACTCCTGCTTTCTGGGATCCCCGCCTGCTCCCATGTTCTTGTCTCAGGCTCTGGGGGAAGCTAATTCCTTTTATGAGGGTAGAATCACTCTTTTACCTCTATAAAAGTGGCAAAAGTACAAAAAGTCCATTGTCTCTCTTGAACGCAAAAGATTCAACAAATTATTAGCAAGTCAAGGCCAAAGAAGAAAAATCATGCTATATCAATGCCTGCTTAAAAAAAAAGCATTCGACAAATTCCAACACCCATTCATGATAAAAACTCTCAGCAACTTAACAATGAAGGGGAACTGATTCAAACTGGCAAAACAGTTTGAATTACTTACTGTTAATATCATATTGAAAAAGTGAAAGTCTGAATGCTTTCTCCCTGAAGTCAGGAAGAAAGCGAGGTTATCTATATTCTCATGGTTCTTATTCTGCTAGCAGAAGTGCTAAGGCCATTACAATAATGGATAAATGCACTGCATACCTCCTGAGCAAGGCATACTTCTCAGCAATAAAAACCAGTATGCTGTAGATATACACAACACCACTGGGTAAAAACTGGATGAGAACCAGGATATTTACTCAGTCTAAAATTCTCTGCCCATAAAATAGTAATTATGAAAGGAGAAAGAATAATTTATAATGGGTAAATCTTGGCAGACACTACTTGACTGATAACATCAAACTGAACATTTCCAGTGACAGGGCAAAATGACCTCTTGCGTCACCTGATGTGAAAAGTGATAAAAGTCTCTTCTGCAGCACTGCTGCCAGAAATGCACCACCTCAATCTTATCATCAGGAAACAGCAGACAAACCCAAATGAGGAACATGCTGCAAAAGAAGTGATTTGTAATCTTCACCAAGGTCAAGAAAGGACAGTAACATTGAAAAAAAGTGAAAAAAAAAATTACAAGCACACTTTTACGATCACAGGGTATCGCTGGGATAGTTGAGAACATCCAAATAGGAGTCTCTGGGTGAATGGTATTTTAGAGCTTTTTTGTAAGTTTGAAATTATTAAAAAAAAAAAAAAAAAACAACTAACATCATAATAAGGCAGACAACCAGACATTATGGGCATCATGATGGAAGAATATAGCACCATCTACAAAATATTCTTGCTCAACTCTTTCCCTCTATCAATTCAATTGGCAGGAAATACCAAGTGGATCTAATCAGCAGAATATAGGTCATGGCAAACTCTATAGGGCCAGAAACCTGGTTTCCTCGACAAATAAACTACCGCAAGAGGGGAAATTCAAGTTTAAAAGGGATTTCAGATATACATATCAACCAGTTACAACACACTGATCTTTGATGGATCTCAATTAAAACAAACCTACATAGAAAATTCATCACTGTTTAAATATTTGATGATATTAAGAATTATTGCTAATTTTTTTAGTTATGTTGAAATAATGAAGACGTGGTTATTTACCAATGAAATAAAGTAATATGGAAGCAGGGGAGGGGCCACCCTAGTGGCGCAAGGGGTTAAGCACTGCACTATGAAGTAATCCGCAGCCTCTGCAGCACAAGTTCGATCCCTGGCCAGCCAGGGAGCAACCCACATGGCGTAGCAGACCTCTCCTGTCATGCCCGCTCTCCCCTCAGCAGTGTGTTTCAGTCAGTCTGCCTGTTCTGTTCCCCACTCTGTCTCCAGTGGATCCTCTCATCCCCCGCATCTCTGGCCTGTACCCCAGCTCTTGTATGCATAAATAAATCAATCTTAAAAAAAAAAAAAAACAGGGGAAAGGAATGGAAGAAGTGAGTGAGCTGAGATTATGAAAGCCAGGGGACAGTATTACGACTTTGGTGAGAGCATTTGGAAGAGTGTAGGGCTTTTGGGTTACTGTAATCTGGGGACATTACTGACTTGGGAGTGGAAGTCAGGGGTAAGAAATGTCTTCAGCCTTTCTCCTGGCTGGCAGCATAATGCCTGGAGTTACCGTAAGACATGTGAACCAGCAGGAGTTCATCAGAGCTCTGGCAGCCTTCCTCTAAAAGTCCGGGAAGCAGAAAGTCCCTGAACGGGTGGACACCGTCTAACTGGCCAAGCAGAAAGAGCTTGCTCCTTATGAGAAGTGGTTCTACACACACACTGCTTCCACAGTGTGATACATGTAGTTCCTCCTGGCCATTGCTGGGGTCGGCTCCATGACCAAGATCTAAGGGGGACGTCAAAAAAATAGTGTCATGCCCAACCACTTCAGCAAAGGCCCCCAAAGCATGGACCATTGGGCCCTCCAAGTCCTGGAAGGGCTGAAAATGGCAGAAAAGGACCAAGGTGGAGCCACAAACTGGTAGGTAAGGATAGAGATCTGGACAGAATTTCCAGAGGTGAGGGTGTAACAGGGTGGTCCCCAGGAAAGGGGGAGGTTCCCTGCCCCACCCAAGGAAGGGTGGAGCTGAGCAGGAAGAGGAGAAGCTGCAGAAGAGACTGAGGAAGGAAGGAAGCAGGATGGAGCCAGGAGACCTGCAGGAGGCGCATGGAGCCTAGAGACACGTGAAGAAACTGCGCTTGTCTTTTGGTCGTGGACTGGGTGACACAGATGTGGGTGAGACCCGTGGGGAGGTGACAATGGCAGCTTTTATCTTGATGTTGATTTTGCTCTTTTCCTTCCGGGCTTGTCCAGTTGTTTGTGACCCTTTTCTGTGGGTCCCCACTGGAAGATGTTTTAGACTTGTGGCAGGCTTTGGGGCCTTGCTCTGGGCCGACCCCATATGGATGGAGTTTTACCCACGAGGGGACGGGTAACTTTGGGTGCTTCACTTAGAAACTAGACTCTTTGCCTTACCTGTATTGTTTCCTAGTTTTATTAAAGTTCCTTCCCATTAAAGTCTCCTATGTTTTGTGTTGATGCGGCGGATGGCAGAACCCATTTAGAATAGGCAGGTTTGCGGGGTTTGGGCTGACCCTCTCCCTGTCCTATAACAAGGGTAGCAGCTGCCAAAAGGAAGCACTAGAATAAGTGATGCTGGGCTAATAAATTGCCTCATTTATTTTAAAAAAAGGTGGGGAGGAAGAAAATGCTTTCAATGCCCCAGGCTCTTCTGTACAAAGAGTTCTGTATCACCTCAAAAGTCAAGAATTACAGGGACTACATCTGAGGGGAGAAATCAAATATTGTACAAAATGAACAGTGATGTAAGAAAATTAAAAAAAAATTTTTTTTAAGTCAATAGACTTCACATTGGAAAAAAACCACGAAGAAGTAACAATTCAACAAAAGAAAAGATAGGGAAAACATTCATCTGACTCTTAGACTTGTTAGCTGGGGAGTTCCTTTGGGGGAAAAAAGTCTTCCAGCAGGGAAGCAGTAAGAAGACACTGTTACTGCATTTGTTTAAGATAGCACTTGCTTCTAAAACAAGAAAACTATACTAAGGCTGATATGTAAAAGCTGTCCACAAATGTAGTTATCAGTAGTTTTAGAGTCCGATACAACACAGATGAAGGAAAATCTACACAAGGACCTGGAATCTACAATGGTTTTCTTGATGACAGAGTGCGCCCTCTGGTGGAGGGGTTAGCTGTCAACAACAGCACAACTAATCAAGAACCAACTTGGGCCTCCCTGGTGGCGCAAGGGGTTAAGCACTGCACTATGAAGCAATCGGCAGCCTCTGCAGCATGAGTTTGATCTCTGGCCCACCAGGGAGCAACCCACATGGTGCACAGACCTCTCCAGTCTCGCCCGCTGCTCCCCTCAGCGGTGTACTTAGGTCAATCTGCCTGTTCTATTCCCCACTTTGTCTCTGGTGAATCCTCTCACCCCCCGCATCTCTGGCCTGTACCCCAGCTCTTGCATGCATAAATAAATAAATCTTTAAAAAAAAAAAAAAAGAACCAACTTGCCAGCACATACTGAACTCCAACATTTAGATCCTACTCCTTTACCTTTCCTTACGATATTTAATCCATCCCTGGGGGGAAATGTTTCAAAGGGTCAGATACAGGTACATGAAAGTGAACTTGGGCAAAGTTCACTTTACTGGCCAGAATGGGCAGTAAGAAAGTAGAGCAAAGGGCACAGCTAAGAAAGATTCCTTAACATCTCTCTTGGCTAATCGGTGGTGGCAAGAGCAAGAGCAGTGGTGCCTACAGTGGCAGGAAATCAGGGTAAATCCCACCTCAGGTCCTGTCACCAAAAAAGAGTTATGGCAGATGTGGCAGTGAGAAGCTAGTCTCAGCACCCTTCCTTTCTAGGCTACCATGTGAGATAGCAAAACTAGGAGAGTAAAAGAAGGGAGGAAAAAAACTGGGAGGAACAGGACTAGCTGCTTCTGAATATGCTCAGTAGGTGACCTTGCTAGTAAGCAGAAGAAAGTAAAGGTTATTTACAAATAGGCATTTGATCAAAGGGACAAACAGGTAATTTCAGTATAAGAGGACCATGCAGGAGACAGACATTGTTTTCAACATTCTTTCTTGAAAGGACAAGGTCATTATTCAGGATTTTGAGAAGGAATTTTAACAGACCAAAACAATAAGACAGAAAAACAAAAGGTCATAAGTAATACCTACATCTGGGATTCCAATATGAAGAACAGAGCCTTTTCTTTCATGTCCATTCTCATAGTTTTATTGAATTCTAGTTTGCACAGTTTTATTACATTCTGGTTTGCACAAAGGGACAAAAAGTATATTAAAGAAATATTACCTTTCATGTTTGCAGTATACCCACTGTTAATCACAAAGTGTAATATGACTGTTCATTTTGAGGAAAGACTCCAGTAGCCATGGTAGTCTGTTGGGAAAAAAAAAAAAGTTGTTTTTTTTTTAAATCTGCCTATGGGGTATTCATTTATTAATCACCTATAATGTACTAGACCTCTGTTATCTAATGTGTTGTCATTAGCTAAGTGGCTATTAAGCACCGGAAATGTGGCTAGTAGAGATTTGAGAAATGCTAAAGGTATAAAATACAAGATTTTGAAGATTAGTACAAAAAAATGCAAAACATCTCTAAAATTTTTTATATTATTTCTAAGAATGTTAAAATATTTTTGCTATATTAGGTTAATAAAATACATTATTGAATTATTTTTATTTTTTATTTTTAATGTTGCTACTAGAAAATCTAAAGTTGAACATGTGGTTCACATGATATTCTGCTGGGCAGATAGTAGGAACACAGGGAAAAATAAGGCCTACTCTCCCTCATGCATTTACAGTGTGGATACAAATAATGCTAAGATGTGCAAAATGTCAAAAGACAGGCTTGGACAAGCAGAACTGTTCAACATGAGGGCAGATATAAGACTAAGGAGTCTTCGCTTAAACTAGGGTCAAGGAGTAAAATCTATTGTGGACATGATGGTATGTTAGACAATTCAACAGAACTCCTCATTCTTTAAAAATTCAATTAAGTGAGAACTTACAAAATTTATATGACTTTATAGCTAAAAAGTCTTCATCTAATCTCATGCTCAGTTATATGACTAAGTGACTGTTCTGTTGCTATGGCTTCTGAAGAAAATTAAAATAAATCTCTTTTTATAAAAAATCACTACCTTTCTTAAGTCATGTACTGGACACAAGCATAAAATCACAGTTCTAACAACAACTTTATGAAGTAGTTATCATTCCCTATTTTAAAGCTGAAGAAATCATTTTAGTGGGATTACATGTACACTAAATGGCAAGGGTGATAATTACATCCCATCTTGAGGTTTCAAGTTCAAATTTTTCAACTATTACTAGTTACAATCGAAAGAAATTCCATTATAATAAAGATGATCTCAACATTTTTGCACTTCCAATGTGTAATACAATCAAGTAGTCACACACTACCTGTACTTTAAATAATGATGAAAAAAATAAAAAAATCAGATGAGAAATCTTATAAGCTATAAAATTATTTCCATAAAACACAAGCAAACAACTCAGAAAAGCTATATGAAGTTGACTAATATAATAAAAAGTCACATATAATACTAACATTTTTTTCTAAATGAGAATTAAAATTCTTTTTAATTTCTAATTTTGCAAAATCATGTTTATTCTCTGCACATCAGTAGCTGGGGATCAACTATAATATTAACTTAATATTAAATAGTTATACGTTTTTTTAAAGGCTCTAAAAATCTGCTGAAATTTCTTGCACCAATTAATAGAGGAAATTAAATTCAGCCCTAAATTCCTTGGAACATTCATTTATTTCTGTGAGGAAAAAAAGTCACTTCATAATTTCAGTCATTCTCTGAGAATTACAGGATGACTAAAATTTTATTTTTAAAATCAAACTTTATGCACTCAAAAAGCACATATCCAAAGACTATGAAACCATCAACACAAATAGTCATGTTCCACAATGTTCATAGCAGCATTATTTACAACAGCTAGGACACAAGATTTGATGGAGACAATGTGGTGTATCCACACCAGCAAGTATTAGTCATAAGAAAGGATGCTATGCAGCCATTTTCAACCAAATGGGGTGAATCTGAATTATGTGCAGCAAAGTAAGTCACACCAATAAAAACGAATACTGGAATTTACACAGACAATTCGATAATTTAACACTTTCACAAACCTGTGGACAACAATAAACATTCTGAGATTTATGAGATTAAACACACGGAATTCCAATGTTGGGTAACCAGGGCTAAATCCACGGTACCCTGGAGGTTTCAATCCTGCCTTTTCTCCAGGTGTCTCACCCACCCACACCTCTGGCTCCCCAGGGTAATCCAGCTTTCCTTCCAGGTGGGTCCCCTAATCCAGGGCATCCAGGATGCAACCCCTAGGTCCCTACCTTCCTCTGTACCCACCACCTATCCCTGGCATGCCTCCTGTGAATCCCTTGGCTTCTAGTAAGCTATGGTATAACAGGAATGATGATGGATAAGGAGATAGGGGGAAAAAAAAAAAGAACATTCATTTAAAAATGCAAACCCCACAAGCACGGCCAGCATCCCTCCTCCTCTTCTTCCAGCACTGACTCTGACTGAATGCAGGATGGAGGCCCTTCACAAGTTTCTCTAGTCCTGGTCAAATACCAATCTTCAGACACCATCTTATACTGGGGAAATTAACCCCCATGTTCCCCTTTCCCATCCCACCATCTAACTTTCTCTATAGTTTGGCTCTAAATGTCTAGGGAAAATGGGAAAAGAACTGCTGTGGGTTAGCAGAGGTCATCTTGTCACAGCTTGGAACTTTTACCTGGTGAACTTTTAAACTAGTAGAGGTTTAGCAGGATAACTCTTTTGAAGATGGTGAGAACTTTGAGCTAAATGCTGATGACAAATCTAAGACCTGTAAACTGTGATTTTTTACTTTCTTTTGCAATGCTTGTGGTTGGGGAGGTGTTGTGGAAATGTAATTATGGAAAAAGAGAGGGGAAAAAAAACCAACCTGTACCTTTCTCATAATGATGGCACACTTGTAATTTAGTGGAAAACACATATCCCAGCAGGCCTTTTATTGATTGCAAGGATGCTGGGATGTGGAGTCCTTGGTAGATGAGCTCTGATTGCCATTTTGGAACCTAATCTCTACTCCTGAGCTCAGAATGCTATCTCAGGTCCTCCTCTCATTCTCCAACTTTTAGTCCAAATGAAGAGGCTTCTCCTGGTCAAAAAAAAAAAAAAAAAAAAAAGAATAAGCAAATGCAAAAAATATATATACGCAAACAAAAAAGACAAAGTTTTAAATCTAAAGTTCTACTTGATGAAACTGTGTCCTTTTAAAGGAAATACAAGAAATTAAAATCATAGAGGTGACACAAAATGAAAGTAGAAAGAATGCCCTGTAATCGTATCATAAATACGGTACTAAACTAATAAATGCAAAATTTTATAATATGCTAGCATTTCAAATGAATGTTACATAAACACAAGAAGTCAAAGCACTAATAGACAAGTTGGTCAGGAAACTCCTTAGCAGAAGCAGCTTAACGTCAAAGGATATTCATTAAGATTAGATTTATAGGATATTTTTTACCATATTGCTTTTCATAAACTTGGATTACTTTCCTAAGGGATTTTGATGAGAAAAACAATGGTTGCTATTTTAGAACCATAGACGTTTAGAGCCCCGGTTGTTTAATAGACGAGAGTTATGAGTCTGTTCCAGGTGATCCAGCATCGTGGTGACAGAGGGTGTGGTGACAAGCTGGGGCCAGTTGTCACTTCCATGTGTCACTACTGACTCTATGTTGAGCTTTTCAATTCTCATGCAATGAAATGGGGTGGCTCCACCAGCAAGCCTGAATGCCATGGGGGTCCCCTAGGGGAGGAGCCATGATTTGCTGGTCTCTATGTCTCCAGAGAAGGGGAGAGTCTGGTGTGTGTGACACACTCCAGGAGCACCTGCTGAAATGGGCATACCAGATGAGTTTCTGGGGTCTAGTCATGTCTTAACTCCATATCTCCAACACCTAAAGCACATTCAAAACATGGCTAGAAAAGAGTACTGATTGAATTAATTGTAACTTTTGGGTGTCTAAGAGTGCAAATATGACCGTGACTTTCATTCTAACTAGGCTCTCAGAAACTCAAAGTCGTGAGGAATCTCAAAAGTCCTCTAGCAGATCCTGACCCACGTGTGCACATTCTCCACAATGTCTCTGTGAGAACAGTGACACTGACATCATTACACAGCCCTGGTGGCTAGAAAGCCCTTTATAATGGGGCCACTCTGTAATTTCTGCTCTTTGAGGCCAAAGAGAACAATAAGTCCTTTCTTCCATGTATCTACACCTGGTGATCATGTTCCCCAGATCAGACAGCAGCAGCCCCTTCCCCTATTTGGGTGCCTCTTCTACCTCCACTCTGATTAGTCACATCTAATAACAAGAACTGAAGTCTCCCAGATTGATGTCAACATCAAAAGTCAGAACAAGACTAGGTCTTGGTAGCATGTGTGACTTAATGTCACATTAGTATTTTCAGAAGTCTAACATCAGGACACAATCAACAGAGAAGGAAAATGGCTTAAAATGATTTGCAATTAAAAAGTAGACCTTCAGGATTGATAATGAAGTATATAAACATTTAAGTGAAATAAATGGTACAGAATGCAAAGTAAAGTCTCCACTTCTATATCCAAAGTTTTACTCCCCAAATGTAACAATCTACACATAGCAGGGGTGTCACTACACTTACAACCCTGTTTATTACTGTATCGTCTTTAAGTCATACTCCTGAATTCTTGATACAAAAGATGAGGAAACTCGCTCAATATCTAACACATAAACATGTATACATGCACTTTTAAAAACAAATTTAACTAAGTATTATGTTTAAATCCATGTAAAACCAGTATAACCTTGTATCACCAAACCTGTGCTGCTCAAAGCATCAGTGTCAAATGATTCATGTCATCGTTGGTTAAAATAAAAGCATATTTTGTTTTGTTTCAAATTTGGACCATGCATTTCTTAAACAGACTTCCCCTGGTTTTTAATCACTGTATTCTTGCTGACAGGAGAAACATAAATCTTCATTGCATCTCTCAGCTCTTTCAACTTCTTAATCACACCACCTACTTACTTTTTAAAGCTATTTTTTTCAGGGCCCTTTGGAACCTTTCTAAGTGGATGAAAGCTACACTTAGGCCTACTACATAGCTGTCAACCTGGGATTTCTTTTAATTGCACCCTTGAGTTGAAGCCACTGTTCCTTAGAGAATTTGCTTTGGCTCTGATTTATCCCCAAGTAATTTTTTCATCAAGAGTTGAGTGGATGGTAAACTTTCTAAGTCCTTTCACTCTAAAAGCATCTCATAAATAATTTAGCAATTTAGAGAATTTCTAGGTTCTGCTCAACTGTGCATTAGCAAACAGCAGTGCTGATGAAGAAGTCATCTGGATTTGCAAAGAGTAAACTGTAGGATTTTTATCCTTGGTGTTCTGAAATTTCACAAAAATATGTATTGGGGGCAGGTCTTTCCATTCACCTTCATTAATTCCTGGTGGGTTTCTATATGTATACTGATGTATCCTTCAGCAGCTAAAATTAACTGCATCACGGTCTACGATTTCTATTAGTCTTTACAAAATCCACATCATTCTCATAGAATCTCATAAAGTACCTCCTAGTATAAGTTATATATTATTACCATCTGCATTTTCTCAGGTGGGAAACCTAGTTCGAGATCACACATTTCTAGTGGTAGACCTGGGTTGTAGGTCCAGTTCGCATGCTCTTAATGCCAATGCAGTGTGCACTATGGAAGAACCAGACCAAGTGACACAATTTATTAAAAAAAACAACACTTACCTTTTCTCTCTTCTTCATTAATGTCAGGCACTTTAATTCTTTTTAAGAGTCATTATTTGGGCCTCCCGGTGGCCTAGGAGTTAAGTCTCAGTGCTACAATCTCTAAGGCCTGAGTTCAGTCCCCGATCAGGAAGCTAACCCACACATGGCGCAGCAGACCTCCCATCTCGCTCGCTGCACCCTTCAGCAGTGTATTTCAGTAAATCCACCTATTTTACTCCCGACTCTGTCTCTGGTGTATCCTCTCACCCCTACACCTCTGGCCTACACCCTAGTTCTTCTATGCAAAAATGAATAAATAAAAAAACTTTTAAAGACATTATTCTTTTACTTTACACTTGATCTGCTTTTCTGGTATTACAAAGACTTTCTACTCTAGCAAGATCTAAACCATTTTGAGCCCTCTGAGAAGTCCTGAATTGCTTTGGCTCTTTCTTGTGTACCTCCCTGGCTTCCTCCAGTCTGCACCACTCAGTCAAAGCCTCAGGCCAACAAAGACTGGGCCTCCACAATGTCCAGGGCTCAATGCTGCCCGTTTTCTCTGGCCCCCACAGGTCCCTGGCTCTCTTCACCGGAGAAGGCTTTGTCAGGTCCCCTCCTCTGTATGCTTCAGCTTAGAAACTGCTTCCAGGGAGGCAGCTGGTGCAACCACACTTAAGTCTCTTCTCTGAGACTGTAGGTCCAAGCTATCTGCTTTCCAGTGCCCCAAAACCATGTTTTAGATATTTGTCCAGTTTTCTAGTTATTTAAGGCATGAAGGTAACTGACTTCTGGTTGTTACTTCTGACTTCATACTGGTTGTTTCATACTGGTTGGAAGCAGACATTTCCTTGGCCCTCTCTGAATAACTCAAATCCAGGGGAACTCTGCAGTAGTACTCACTGTGTGTCAATTATGCATGAAAACATTAATTTACAGTCCAACTGTACATTATTCCTGATCGATTATAAACAGCTCAACTAGGTTTGTTCAACTATTGTTATAAACAAAGCAACACATTCAAATCCAAAATGGGCTCAATTGTGCTAAGCCCATGTCACCAAACCAAGACTTAATTACAACTTTAGTCTCTCCTCGAAAAGGAACATTGCCCAACTTAAGCAGGATCACTTGGTTGGCACTAGTGAGATGGTCTGTCTGGTAGACCCTTGCTATCTCCTAAAGGAAAGTGACCTTACCACAACCAGTCGTGCTTCTTTAAACCTCCTTGTCTTTCTAAAGTCCTTCATTTTGTTGAGTTCCTTGGAGTTTCCGTCTACCTGCTAGGTGGGATGATATGTGATTCAAGAATGGTTGAAGCCAGTAAGAAGTTTAAAATATACTCAGTTAAATTTTGTTTTTCAAAGTGTACAGTCAGAAATTCTGTGTTTAAGGCTTGATTACACTTTTCCAGTTATGTAAACCATTTTGAGTTTCAATTTCCTTTCTGTAAAATTAGAATTAGCACATCTACCTTCTTAGTTGTGAAAATGAAGAGAGACTGCATATATATGTGCTTCTTGCACAATGTCTGGCATCTAAGAGTTCAATAAATGCATGTTATTTTAATTTGCAAACCAGTATCTGTAATACCTTTGTTTCCCTTCTTACTCTGTATTCACTTTCTCTCTTATTTTTATAAGAATTTGTAAAGTGTTCCATTCATTACCTATAAAACAGTATTGCCAGTAGTTAGTAATGGTTGAGCTTCTCAAGACGATTTATGAAAACATTACCTCCACTCACAACCACACTGATTTCATGTGTAAGGTTGCAGAGGGAGGAGGAAATGGGTTTGAATAGTAATCCTGTCATTTCACTGCACAATCACATACTATTTAATTTCATTTCCTGTTTCTAATGACAGATATTTTGCTCACTCCATCCTACGTTTGCTTTTATCCCAAAAAGCCCCTCAAAATGACTCAACTGTTTAGGATTAGTCACACGCTCATAATTAGTACCTAATACTTAAAACTGAGAACAGCCATGTATTATTACTCATACTGTTAAGAAGAGACATCACGAAGTAAGAGTTTGACATTAAAAAAAAAAGCTCTACTTCATAAAAAAGTCATTTAACACAAGACTGGTTTCTGAAATTGACTGAAGAATTCTTAGGTCACCACTTACTCTTCCACCTCCCAGATACACAGTGTTTTGCCAAAACCTACATGGGTAATTTTTGGAGAGAGTTTCTGGGGATTGCATTAAGTGCCTGGGAGGTCAAAAGTGTGGTATAATTTCTCGCCATACATTACAATCACCTTGGGTGCGTGTGGCTAATGCAAATGTCTTGATCTCACCCTCAAAAGCCATCTGAGTTGGTAAATGTGCTGAGTAGTAGAACAATCTGTATTATCAACTCAC